TAAGGTATAAAACGTTTAATATAAATCATTTACACATGTGTTTTGCCAAACTAAAAGTTGGAATACATTCTTCACAGCTTATTTGTTTGTGATTCGAGTTTATACATAAGGTAATTGACTCCCAAACCTGAATAAAAATTAAACTAAATGTTTGTTTTTCTACAGTATGTCTGAAACATGGGAAGTAAAATTGACATTATCTTATATTAAATTATTTATATGGTTGCAAGATCGGCAGAGATCTTTAGTTGAGGGTGAGGCAATTTTTGGAGCTGGCCACGTTATATTTTGTAAATTACGCCTTAAGTTTTCTACTAATAACTTCATGAGACCGTTGGGGCAATTTAGCTGATGGAACAGCATTTTTTCTTCACTCTTCTTAATTTAGTTTCAGGTGTTACTATAAAGTAAATTAAGTATAAATATATTAAAATATAAATAATATTTTAATCAACACTTGGAAAGTAATTGTTCTCAGTAAAATGTAAACTGCACACAGTTACATACTTGGTTATATGTTTGCCAATTCACAAAATGCATTGCCAAACTTTTTTCATATTCTCGTCCAGCGGAAACTAATGTATGGATTTTTTTTGTGAATTATAATAGGATGAATATTGAGGAACACTGCAATAGTTTTTTGAAGTCGAAGTTATTGTTAATTACAGTATAAACCGGTCGATAATATGTATACAAAATAATGACAATTTCAATGTTTTCCCGAAATGGATGCTTTTGAAATCTACCACCAGGCGTCGCTCACTTTGCGGTTCCTCGCCAATCGCTCCGAAATTAATGTTAGCAGCACTTAGTAGATAATATTTTTAATAGCGACACTCTTCTCTAATTACAACATTTCAATTTAGAACAACTTTTATCAATTGGGCCTACCAAACTTTCGTCAATATACATATTTCAGGAGTTCAGTAATAATCAGATCTTCACCCGGAAATTTATTGTTTCTCGTTCTCTAAGTGACTTCCCTTACTTCATGTAGGCTTGGCGTTGTTCATTTATCTCGTTGGTACTATCGTCCAAGTTGGTATCTTGTGATTTCATTATTATTACCTCATATCATATTGGATCTTACCTGAAGCCTCATTCTTCCTTTCTAATTTTGCCATACGCTTAATAAAACCGGTTTTATTAAACCCAATGTTTCAGTGAATGCAAATATCAGCTGGTTTGTTGTGAGTTCCTTGTTCAAAAACTTGGCCATTGAATTTAAGCGTAGGTACCTATAAACCTCAACGACGAATCCCATACTAGCGTCCAAAAAACTGCTATTACTGCTCTATTCTCAATTTTTGTTTCTTTACAAACCGTCTCAGTACTCGACAGATCTGCTATATATACAAGTTTTCAATACTGAAAATATTGTGAGATCCTTCAGTATATTTCATTCAGGCAAGTAAGGTAGCGTCGTTGTCCAAGCAAGGCAAATGCGTACTCCGTATATAACAAGTTCTTGTCATCCTATGTACTTCGCTTCCTCTCGTGCGTTGGATATATCTTATATCTTAGGCCAATCCATATTGCACCTTATGCATCATCGAACCTTCTTATAGCAACAATAAGTTCTGCGGAAGCTGCTTTATTGTGTTAAAGGTTTGCCTGTAGGACCCTGCTTAGCGTAATTGAAACCCTTTTGGGCATAGACTCCGCCACCGCATTCATCTCTTTTTGCTCGTACTTAATTTATTTCCATGAGTTGGGACGAAATGCTGACACGCACGCCAGTGCGCCAAGAACCTTGAGTTTGTCAGTTCTCTGCAGTCTCGCTTAGGTAAAACTTTTCTCCCTGTGCCATATATCCTCTGTCTATATCCATCTTATAGCTTTTGAGACAATTTTATACATTTCGAGTCCGATATATAAAGGCAAATTTGCAAATAGATATGTAGTTAGGAAATCTTACATTTTATTTTTGTTTTAGGCATTAATAATGAAAGACGAAGGAAGAATAACATTCCACAAAGTCAAATCCTAGTCGGTACTATTGTCTGCTTAGTCAAGACGGGAAAGAAAGCTGTCAGATGATAAAAAGTTACTGTTTTAAAGTATCCATGCATGAATATAGTTTAATGATACTGCCAACTTTGTAATACATTAATAAAGATTATGTTTCAATTAATTTTTTGTTTACCTCTGTTAACATCCTTGCAAAATGTTTATTCCCTTACAAGTACATTTTTCAACATTACACCTAGCACATCCCTGTAGGTAAGTTTTGTTACTTTTACAACGTTTGGAATGGAAAATAAATAAACAATAAAAACTGTGTGTATTAAAGTTTATTAAATACGATTACAAATTTTAAACTTACACATTATATTCCTAAAAATAACCAAATAACGATATTAATGTTACGTGACGGATTTTAAAAGTTCTTGTATGTCATATGTCAAACGTCTATGAGTAAAAGTAGTTATGTGATTTGTAAATAGCTTCTGGTTTGCTAGGGTAAGGTCAGCAGTAGGTATACAGTTTTCATTGGAATCTAGTAAAATGATTCGATCAATCTAAAATCATAAATTGTGATAAATATATGTAAAACTGAATTGGACGTGTTAAAATTATATGTCAGGTGTGAGTAATACAGTAGTTACATTGATTTAAACTTACCATTGTAAAAGAACCAGTCAAAATAGACCACCTAGTAAATATGTTCATAAAATTGTTTTACTGTTAATAGATGATACATATCGAAACGTAAATAGTTAAAAAATAAGCTTAAATACAAATATTTTTAATGATAAGAGTTACTACTACAAACAAGATGATACTTTGATAGTAAAATGATATGTTTTAAGAATCTGGTAGATAGACGGTGTCGAATTCTACTAGTACCCCACTGTTGTTGGCGAAAGTACATGTCTCACATGCTTAAATAACTTTCTCCTTCTGCTTTTATCTAGACATATTGTTTTTCTTTAACACTACCTCTTATTCTATTGGAATATTGACCATTCTATAATGAAATTGTATTCCATTTTTCTGTCAAAACTGCCCTATTCATTTATATTGTTATACCGCACGTGATTCTGATGACTGTCAACGTAAAAGCTATATTAAAAAGAATACCAAGTTTCATTGGTATCCCAAAGCTTTGTATTGTGTATATCAGTTCATTTCTTATTACACAATCAAATGCTTTATAGAAATCTATAAATGATATATAAAGGGTGATTCATTTAGAGGTACTTTTTTTGGTAGGGATTTGATTGGAGGTGCATGAATACTGTCAAACTCACATTTCGCTTTTGTTCAGTATTGTTTGACATTTCATGATGGAAAGACTTAGCCCGGCACAGCGTCTAAGTTGTATTTTGAAAATGGGAGTTCTGTGAGGAATGTGTTTCGTGCGCTTCGTGAGAAATTACACATAATCGATTATGGTTCACATAATCGGCGTACCGAATGTATAATTCGCTTTACGATTGGTACGTTTGAAACCCAGTTTTCATTATTGGATACCACGCCACCAAATAGACCACATTCAGCAAGCACTGAAGAAAATATAGCGGCGGTAACGGATAGTGTACTCGTTCTCAACAGCTTGGCTTGTCATATGCAACAACTTGGCGTATTTTACGTAAGGATCTTAGTTTAAAAGCATACAAAATTCAATTAGTGCAAGAGCTGAGGCCGGCCGATCTTCCGAGTCGTCACCGTTTCAGTCGATGGGCTCTTGATAAGCTTTCAGAAGATCCACTGTTTTCGAGAAAAATTTTGTTTTCAGATGAGGCCCATTTTTGGCTTAATGGGTACGTTAATAAACAAAATGCCCGTATTTGGGGTGATGAACAACCCAAAGAGGTTCAAGAGTTGCCAATTGTTAGGGAAAGTATGCATTTTTACATTTAATATTTTTTCTGTTACGGTACTGTAATGTGATCTAATTTGGTACTGTATTTTAAAAGATCTTTTTGAAATATATTATTTCCTGTGAGTTCCTAAAACTTAAACTGGCTCTCATTTATCATGTTAAAATACGCAGAATTGGGCTTTTTCTTTGTATTCTATGTCACAAATACAAAGATCGAAACAAGTGGTTGATTTATGGCATGCCCGGCCTACAAGATATTGACCATCCAACCAGAGGGTGGTGGTGCGGGAGACGCTCTCAAACCCTCAACATTGGCACTTCTTGGTCAGACAACGATCGATCGACACGCATCAAGTTCCAGACGGTTCTTCCCGCGTCCCGGGCGTCGGTACCACCGGCCAACTCTACAGCTTGGTACGAATTCATCAATAGAACCAAAGGGTAAGTCTATTCTTGTATAAAACATTGATAATGAGTAAACCATTTATTTCTAATTTATTTCTACTTTTACAATTTATAATTGCTATTTTCACCAATTTTATGTATTAACAATATCACATTTTTTCGTTATAATTATTTATTCAATATAATTTAAACCAGCGACTTCTCAAGTTTATTCATTAAACACCAATACACAATGAAAAAACAACTGTTTGGTGTGGTTTATGGGCTGGTGGAATCGTTGGTCCATATTTATTTAAAACAGAGGTCGGCCAGAATGTTACTGTGAATGAAGACCATTATCGTGCCATGATAACGGACTATTTGGTACCTGAAATTGAAGCTCGTAGTCTCGGCGACATTTGGTTCCAACAAAATGGCGCCCAAAGTCTACATGAATAAACCAGATACGATGAAGCATTGGAGATCAATATTACTCGAGTCATTGGTGACATACCAATCGAAATGCTGCAACGAGTCATCGAGAATTGGAATTTCAGAATGAATTAACTTAATCGCAGCCTTGGCCAACATTTAAAAGGAATTATCGTTAAGAAGTAATTGTAAAAAATGGTTCTTTTGTATGATAATAAATATTTTCAAATAAAAATAATTTTCTTCATTGTTTTTTCTTGTTCAAAAAAGTACCTCTAAATGAATCACCTTTTATAAGAGCTACAGCATACTTCAAGACGACTCTATTACAATAAAATAGAAAAAGAATTGGAAAGTCGTGAAGCTATCTTCATGCTAAACATTTCTTTCGCCGCAACGAGTCATGTCAACGTCACAAAACATTGTCAATCAAAATCATTTTAAATTATTTAAACGGCCAAATGAAAAATGCAATAAAAACTATCACTATTTTCGGAGGAGGTAAAATTGGTTCGGGTTTAGTGCAAATAGCAGCACAAAATGCAAAAAAAGTGGTATTGGTGGAAACAAACCAAGAACAACTTAAGAAATCAGCGGAGCTATTAATTACTAATTTAGGGAAATCTGCTCGTGAATTATACAAAGAGGAATACCAAGCGAAACAGTATATTGAACAGATTATGGGATTTGTTACAGGTGAAGGATTTGCCAATGTATTTGTGTATCTTTTATACTGCTATTCGCCATATCTTTTTAATTGTACCTTCACTGATAGTTTTCTGGATATTATAGTAAATTCTTTATCAGTTTCTACTCTCAAACTTTTTTTTCTGTTTGCACTATGAAATTCAACGTCTCATTTAATAAAAGTTGTTACCAGTGCTGTTGTACGATTTCATATATTGTGAGCGATTTCTTCTTCTAACAATAACAGAACTCAAATTGGGACTTTGTATTAAGTATGGGAGATCATGCCAGATCGCCACCCGACTCCAAGTTCAGATGTCCATCAGGTTTTGCGCTTCTTCTGCACTTAACCATTGTTTTTGTGGCTCACCTGTTGGTAATTTCTCCTTCATTTTATTGTAAAAGGGCCTTTTTGATAACCTGTAGTCCATCGAGCTCCATTCAAGACCCTGGAGCACAGCAAATTCTGAGATATGGACTTTGAACAGCTACTGAAATTTGTTTATTTAAACAGCTGGTATATTAATGGATCTATCTTGCATATAACACTCATTGTAATATCTTTAACATATCAATTATTATTTCTAAACCAGGTACAACGAATCCTACGAAAGCAGTGATTGACGCTGATCTGGTGGTAGAGGCAATTCCAGAGAGATTGGATAAAAAACAAGAACTCTTCAGGCATATAGACAAAGCAACTCCGACGAAAACTATCTTTGCGAGCACCACAAATTCACTTTCCATTGGTTCGTTTGCTGAAAATTCCACTAGAATACAGCGATTCGTCGGTCTGCATTTTTTCTATCCAGTTCCAGAAACCAAGTTGGTAGAAATAGTAAAGGTTTCAGTAACAAGTAAAGAAACGTTGGATTCGGTAACAGCTTGGTGTAAAGATATTGGTAAGTTGTAAGTAAAAGTAGTGATTTTTTTTTTATTTCTCAACAAGCTGTGGTCTATTGCGACTGTTATATTGATTTTATTTGTCTTACAGTTCTTTAGTTATCCAGGAAAGAGAAGATAACATACAAAAAGATAAGGTAAAAGAAAGATTACTTAATAAGATGATAGATTGATATTAAACTAGCCTTTGATAGATGGCGCTACTTGATACCGAATTAGTTTCGGTGTTGACATTTGCCATTCATGACGTAACGTCTGTCAAAATTTTAGGTTTTAAAAACAATTAGTTTGGTTTTTACAGCCGTCACATTTACATTTTACATTTGTACACAACCACATTGAATTCACCATCATTTGGACATGAAAAAGCTATCTGCAAGACGGAGGCCGCGTTTGCTGACAATCGATCAAATGCAAAAACGTGTGAGACGCTTTCGGCGATGATACGGCGCGATCCGAAGGATTTTTTTCGCCGATTTATCACCGTTGATGAAACCTGTGTGTATTATTACACACCGGAAACCAAAGAACAGTCGAAACAGTGGCGCAAACGCGGTGAAGGGCCGCCGAAGACGGCAAAGAGTGCACATTCGGCCGACAAGTGATGGCGACAGACTGATGTCTGGGATGCGAAGGGCATCATCCACATCGACTACTTGGAAAAATGAAAAACAATCAATGGTGAGTACTACGCAGCATTATTGGATCGATTCGATGCCGAATTGCTTCGAAAACGCCCCGGTTTGGAACGCAAAGAAGTGCTCTTTCACCAAGATAATGCACCGGCTCACCGATCGGCCGTCGCCATGGCAAAATTACACGAATTGGGCTATGAATTGGTTGAACACCCACCGTATTCTCCAGATCTTGCCGCCAGCGATTTTTTCCTGTTTCCAAATCTAAAAAAATGGCTCGGAGGACTCCGTTTCGCAACAAATGATGAAGTCGTCGCAGAAACTTCGGCCTATTTTGAAGAGCTCGAACAAAAGTACTATTCGGATGGGATAAAAAATTGGAACATCGTCTTACTAAGTGTATCGAGCTAAAAGGGGACTAGTTTTATATCAATCCACCCTCGTATTTACAGTTTTTAGTTAAGGATTTCATGTATTTATAAATTCAATCCCTAAATAGGGTCTCTCTTGCCTTTGCTCTCATTTGTCGCAAAAGATACGAAAAAAATTATTTAGTTCAACGTTGGAGCATAAATTATAGGACCATACTTTGAAAATATTTTCAAATATATAGAGCCATCCATATTAACAGGGGGGAACAAACTGATCTTTGTTTTATGGAATACCCTGTATATTTTTACATGTTTCAACTGTTCTCGGTGTTCTCTGTTCTTTAGAACGTAATTATATTTTAAACTACCTCGTATAGCATTGCAAAACTTTATATTGCACAAAGAAGAACATCGGGAAGAGTCCAAAAATGTAAAAATATACAAGGTGTTCCAGTAAAAAAAAAGATAAGTTTGTTCCACTCTGTCAATATAGAGTCCCTGTATATTTCAAAATATTTTCAAAGTATGGTTCCATTTAATTTTCAACTTTTACCTAAATAATTATTGGAACAATAGATTTCTTATCGCGGGCTACGATAACGTAACCCCATACATATTTCTTAATATAAAATAATATTAAAGTAAAATAAAATAAATTATAATAATTAAACTAAAATACAATCGAATCGCATTGAATTGAATTAAATTAGCTACGTTTCCGCTCCTTGGTCGCTAAACCCTCTCCCGGAGTAATACATCCCGTTTTTCTTCGTATCTCTTACGACAAATGAGTAATTGAACTTCCTCGCACTAATGCCGCACCCTGTGTATACGGCCTGGAAAAGTATACATAGGAAGGTCTCTTTATCTACAGATTTCCGTCCTTTTTTCTACAAATTTAGTAATTATGTAATTCACACAGGGTACAGGTCATGGTGGGCTTTACTGTTCGCGGTTTCTCACTCACAGCATCCTCAGATCTTCCTTGATACTTCAGTAATTAAAATATAAATGTATATGTATACAATTTGTTTAGGTAAGACTCCCGTAATATGCAACGACTCGGCTGGTTTCATCGTCAACAGACTTTTACTTTCATATATATCCGAAGCAATAAGAATGACAGAGAGAGATGATGCGACTCCACAAGACATAGATATAGCCATGAAATTAACAACAGGTAACATTTTTTTACTTTCTATAAAAGATCTAAAAAGTCTATAGCGGAATAAGATGGTAAGATCTACTGGATTCTTATTTGAGATTGGGCACTCGAAAGTACATATTCAGAAACCCCTTTGGCCAAATTTTTAGTTCGCTAGATGGACCTATCTTGGTCATTTTATGGGGAATGAACAGAGATACGGCTTGTTGCAACTCATTCTTCAGGGCAAAGTATTTGGAAAGAGAGGACCAGGGAGAAGAAGAATATCTTGGCTTCAAAACCTGAGAAAAAGGTTTAATACATCGACAACCGGACTATTCAGAATAGCAGCAAGCAAAGTTAGGATAGCCATGTTGATCGCCAACATCCGGAACGGATAGGCACCGTAAGAAGAAGGTGGACCTATCGCAAAAAATGTGTTTTTTCGAAAAAACATTTCCAGGTCTTCCTTTTCTTTTCTTTAAAAAATCAAAAAAAAATACTAAACATATATTTTAATCCCTAAAACACTCTTATTTTTCTTAAAATTAAGCTCAAAAAAATATTTGAATTTTTCAAAAAAATTTTAATTTATGTAAGTATGTGACTTTTAGCAAACTTCTAAATAATTATTTTTTGTGTACTTTTTCATTCTTTTGAATGTCAGGGTTAGATATACCACTTTCTCTCCGGAACATCCTCAAAATCCGAAAAACCCTTTTTTTTGTGTTTTCTCCATGTTTTTAGCGCAAAAACTAATTTGAGATCCGTTGAGTCCGTTATACAACATGTAAACATTTTTAATGTTATTAAAATCTATAAAAATAATAAATAAATAATAAAATTACTTTATTCAATTTTAAAAATATTAATTAAATTTTAAAAATACATAAATCATAGTTGGTATAAAACTTCGCGCTGTCAAAAGACTGGTTATAATTTGTTATTTTGGGGTGAACTTTCTGTACTGAATCTAAAAAAAATAATAAAAATACTTTATCCAAATTTAAAAATGTTATAGAAAAATATTGTCGAAGAAATATCTTATGAAAAACTTATTTAGCAATATGTAGTTAAGGTTTTATGCTAAAACATAGGGTAAAATATCAAAAAGGAGGGTTTGTCTTATTTTGAGCATGTTCTGGTCTAAAAATGACAAACTTGATCTCTGTATTAAAAATAACAAAAAAAATATATCAAAAATCGTTATGCATTGACATGCAGTTGAGTTAATGTGCTAAAACATCTAGGAAAACACCAGAAAATGGATTTTTTGGAATTTTGAGAATGTTCCGGAGAGAAAACAACAAATCTGACCCTGCCATTCAAAAGAACGGAAGAACGGAAAATAATTATTTAGAAATTTGCCAAATATTACCTATATAACCTTTTGAAAAATTCACATATTTTTCTTGAGCTCAATTTTATTAAAAAAAAATCAGTGTTTTTGGGCATTAAAATGTATGTTCATAATTTTTTCAGATTTTTTAAATCAAAGAATCGCTCAGAATTTTTTTTTTTTTTTTTCGAAAAGAAAACATTTTTGCGATAGGGGACCCATGGGGCCACCTAGGGAGCTAAAAAATTGGCTAAGGGGGATTTTAAATATGTACTCTCGAATGTCCAATCCCAAAAACGAATCCAGCCGACTGCAAATATTTACCATCTTATCCCGTTAACCTTTATATGATATTGGCTCTTTTCAACCAAGTATAATCAAATGATCAGTGGGTCTTTCCTTTTTCGGCACTGGAACACTCACGATTATATAAAATGAGTTAATAACGTGGCATCACTGTATATCTGTCAACAAATTATGACGTCATATACAATCGTTTTAAGCAACAATTGGTGATTTATTGGTAATTTGACAGTAAATCCTTAAAAGACAAAACTACTACTGATATTTTCAAATTTTATATAAAAATTTCTCGATTTCGTACTAAAAAAATTATTTTTGTTCGGCCACAACTATTTTTAAGGTTCGAGTATACATGAAAATCAGAAGTAGCCAAATCTGGCTAACAGGGAGGATGCTATAACGAATCATACTACAAACCATAAATTTTCTCATTTTTGTGACCAAATTTTTCATTGTCTTAGTGAAAATCAATTAAAATCTATTTTGTAATCCAAACATTCTCTTTTAAATTTTATTATTTACATGGTTAAAAACATCATTAAGTAAAAGACTTTCGAATAACCAAGAACGCTAGATTCACAAATTCTTGTTTCGTTATCTTTTCAACATTTTTTCAGTAGTTAATTGTTGTGGTCGTCCTTCATGTTGATCATTAATAATTGATGCATGACCATGTTCAAACTCTGCTGTCTGTTTTTTTATTATTGATAGTGAAAGTTTAGACTCTTATACACCAACTTTGATAATTTTTGTCAATCTAACATAATATAATCGAACAAAACAAGGAATACCCGAACCCTAAGCGAATAATGACAAATTAGAGGAAATAACAGAACAGTTCTTCAAAGACCTAGTGCAAGCCTACAGGAGATATCCCAGAAATGACATAGATTGTATTAGGTGACATGAATGCAAGAATAAAACGAGAGCGAGTTTTCATGCCCACGATAGGAAAGCATAGTCTACACAACATGAGTAGCAATAATGGATTACAACTGATAAACTTAGCAGCAGCACTCAATATGACAGTCGCTACCACCTATTTTGAACACAAGAACATAGACAAGGTAACCTGGACCTCTCCTGATGGAAAAACAACGAGTCAGAGATATCAGTCAACGAGTCAGAAGTCATATCTTGGAAGGCTCAAGGCATGGAACAGATGTAATAAACTGCAGAAGTTATAAAGGCGCAAACCTAGACTCAGATCATTGCCTAGTGATCTCAAAATTGAGAGCTAGAATTTTAAACACCAGTAAAGAAAAAAAAAATGGAATGTGCAAAAGCTGAGAGATGGGACAGTTGCAGAACGGTACTCAAAAAATATCACCAAAAGGCTAAGGAATCAAAATCTAAATGAAGAAGGCCAGACAGATATAGACTCCTACTGGACCACAATAACGAAAGACATTGAAGCAGCAGCGAAAGAGGATATAGGAACAGAAATTTGTGCCCGTAAAAATCACTGGTTTGACGATGAATGCAAGAATGCAACAAAAGTTGTTCAAACTCTGCTGTCTATTTTTTTATTATTGATAGTTAAAGATACACCAATTTAAATGATTTTTGGCAATCTAACATAAAATAATCGAACAAAACAGCAATACCATTTGTACCAGCATTTATGAGTCTCTAAATCGTTAATAGTAATATAAAAAATAACTGTAAACATGTGTAAACTGATACACATATGTACGGTTACCAATTACATTTCATAATTGGTGCTTGCGTCACTTGTTTTTTCAAAATTTACCTCTTTTAGGAAGTCCAATGGGTCCGATTCAACTGGCCGATCATTTGGGGCATGACACAATTTTAAATTTGTTAGCTAATTTTAAGTCCAGAGAACCTAATAATAGCTTCCTTACACCGAGTCGATCTCAAAAGTTACTAGTACAGCAAGGAAAACTAGGAACGAAAAGCGGTGAAGGTTACTACAAATATAACGATTTAAAGCACTGGATTACGAATTACTCGCACCGATACAACAATAAACAACACTGGTTAAAGCATTATCAATTGTGGAAAAAGAACTGTGAGAAAGAAGTATTGCAAAATTTAGATAATTAGGTTAGAATAACACGTAATTGAGGCCGAATTTATCATATATCCTAATTTTTTATAATTTTTAGTTCTATATGTTATTTATTTATATTATACATTTTTATCTATTTTACTTATGTTTGATTAAATAAAAAAAAACAATTTTGTCTACAGTGCCCACGACTTACTTTCTACTTATCTTGTCTGATTTCTAATAGAAAATATTCATAGCAAATAAATCCAAGAAGAGAAAAGATACTATTTAACGTAGCATTGAAAACTTATCTTTCAAACGAGATATACTGAGATATTTTATATCGGCAACAGTGCTATGCTATAGTAGTCAATGCGACAATATGACTAGAATTGGTAAGACACAATATTCCTTTACTAAATAAAAAAACTAGTGATACTTGAAGACTCATTTTTCATTAACATTGTCTGTTAACCCATTAGTAATTAGAGTTACATATATGTAACGCAACACAAGATTTAATTTATCCATTGTAAATTTTTTTGTAAAACTACTAACGGATAGATGGCGGCACGTTTCGGCAATAGACGCAAAAGAAGAATGGAGAAAAGAAATGTGCTGCTTGTATGCTATCGTTTATTAAGAAGAAAAGGCTACCTCCTTCCGGCTGTACGAATGTTTAGACGATGGTCAAGTAAAATAAATTTGCAACCAGGTAAATTCATTTTGATAATTCAGTGAATTAATATTTTTAGTCTAACACAGCTTCGGAACCGGATTGATATGTATGAAGACGACTACGGCAAAAAATAAGGACAAACGAAAAACATCCAAAACCCGGATGAGAATCACTACTTGGTAGATCAGATCACTCTACTCAAGGGACCAAGAAATAACTCAAGGACTGAAAGAGAAGGAAATAGACATTTGTGCTCTACAGGAAACAAAAAAGAAAGGAAAAGGTCAATCAAAATAAGGTGAATTCATACTAATCTGCAGTGGAGTAGCAAAAGAAAACAGGGCCAAAGAAGGTATAGCCTTACTAATACACCAAAGGCGCCAAAATCACATCAAAGAGTGTCAATACATATCAGAAAGAATAGTAACAGCAAAGATAAGAATAAAGAAGGAAGACCTGAACATCATCGGAGTATACAGCCCAGAAAATAACAAGCCTCAAACAACAAGGGAAGCATTTTACGACCAATTACAAGTAGTAGATCAAGTCAAAGGAAAGATGATAATATTGTTATATACCGTTAACAGTTTAAGTTTCAAAGTTGTTCATTACAGTAATAAAACAACGTTGCTATATGATGCATCGTTAAAATAAGATACACACAAGTCCCCTGGCTTTGTCCCGCTATAACGTCATGCGCAAAGTCGATTAAAATTAGAATGGCAATTGAGCATATCTTGTTTGTTATAGTCTCATGTATCTATTGTATTGATTGGTTCTTTTACATGTATAAAACACACAAAAACGTTATTCTAAATGTTTCTATAAGTTATGTTTATATTTGTACGTCAAAACGTCTTTTTCGTTATCGTTGTAATTTGGTTTATCAAGTTCGTTAAATATGCGCGATGACTACAGCGTTAAAATGGGCGTGATTTTATAACCAATTAGAATTTTAATCAACTATAATATGATGTACAGTAATTCCTAATCTGTCATCAATACAGAAATGTCTCATCGAAGTACAGAATATGTGGTCATACATTCAGAGCCATTGCCAATTCGGTCTAAAAGAGCTAAAACAAATCAAAAATAGATTTAGTAATACTTACGTGTCCATTTTTTGTTTTTTATTTGCTTTTTCTTGTGCTTCAACCACTGACAAGCGAATGCCTTTCATTTCTATTCCATTTAATACCTAAAACGAAACAGATAGATTACAATAGAATTTATTTAGTCAATATAGAAAAATAGTTTTGTTTTTGTCAAGTCAATAGAATAGTGAGGGAAGATTGCGAAAATATCATTACTAATAAAAGGGAGTTACTTGAAATGCTCATATATGAGTGGAAACATAATCCTCATCTTCAGGAAACTATCAATGCCTATATTGAGAGCATGTCTCAACGTGTTTAAGCTCTTTTAGCAGCCAAAGGCGGACATATAAAATATTAAATTTATCCATATTTTGTAAAAATTATACTTTTTTAATAAATAAAAGTTTTTTGTTAACTTTTTTTTGTTTAATTACCTAAGAGTTAATATTCATAAAAAAGAACAAAACTGTAATTTTTTTCAAATATATTCATAATCATGAGAGAAATAACTTCATATAGTAAATTTTTCCTTGGTTGGCATAATAATTTGGCCAGGTACTGTAGAGTGAAGGTAGTGGCATAATACCTAAATCCAGAACTAAAGGTTTACAGTGTCCCCTATACTCTGCTCTTGCAAGTATCCTCACTACTCTTTTTTGTACATATAAGTAACTATGATTGAGTTTTTAGTTGTTAAGATACTACAGTACTGTAAAGTTATAAATAAATGTATTTATATAAATTAAGAACCGCTCGTTTTATTTAAAAATAAAATTACATTATGCTGATTTTTTGCATTTCATGCATTTTATAGGAAAAGTATAGTGAAATAAATAGTTCAGATAAATAAGAAACAAACTATTTTCTAATATCGAACCTTGAGGAACCCCATATTCGACAGTGTTAAACTCAGAATAGCTGTTATTAAGAAAAACAGCATGTTTTCTATTTGTTAAGTATGATCTAAATAGATTAAGAGTATTTCTCCTAATACCATATTTATGCATTTTTTCCAACAGTAATTCATGCGAAACAGTCAAAAGCTTTGGATAAACACAATGTGAAAGACACAAAATGACCTTCCTCCAAGCCATCAACTATATCTCTCACAATTTTCTGTAAAGCTATTGTAGTGCTACACTTTTTTCTAAAGCCATGTTGATTACAGTGAAGTATTTTGTTTTTCTAGATATTCTATCAAATCACAGAATACATCACCAAACAAGAAGCGAAACGAATTTTTTCGCAATTAAAATTTCTGTGACAGTCCGCCATGTTCTGAATAGTTAACCTGTCAAGCTATAAAAACTGAAGTTTATTATTTGTTTATATATTGAGAAGTGTTGTTACGTAAGCCTCTCTTCAATACCGAGAGATCGTAGCAGGTAAATAAATTAAATTTGAAATCCAAACGCTTTACAAAAGTTATCTGAACATTTATATTTTAGTTAAATACACTTTTTTTAGAAAAAAATACAATTTATACAAAACAGATCTACTTAAAAAACATTAGTTTTAATGATTACTTCGTTTCTCAGTGTAACTATAATTTGACTACAGATTTGAACCATTCCTCATTACTTTTCTTAGTGTACTAAGTAGTTTAACTGCCATTATCACTCACGAAATTTCTGTCTTACGAACATCAAAGGTACCGACAAAGCTTTCGCTTCTTGTTGGGTGGAGTATTCTGTGATCAAACCAACATTTAGAATACTCTCAAAATTTTGTCGAAAATGGGAATGATTGGGATGGTCGATAATTTCCAATTTCATCTAAAGCTCCCTTTTTGAACACTGGTAGCACTTTTGTTGCTGTATTTTCAGTACTTATTATTATAAAGTATAATTAATTTATATAGACACATTAATATAAAGTATAATTAATTTGTCAATAATTATATCGATTGTCTCCACAATTATTTTTTTTGTTTAAGAAATAAAAATCCGTGCAGTGTGAATTTTTTAATCTATGCAAGACATTCCTGATTTCAGTATCACTAACAGGTAAGAAAAATAAAGAGTGGCAAGGAGAGTGTACATTTTTCAAAAAAATAAAAAATAAAAAATTAAAAGAATTTCTATTATGTTTAGCTACTGAAGTGAAGTAATTATTCAAATAGTTTGATGTAATGAAGATTATAGATATTGCAAAATACATACTTCTATGGCTTTTTCTGCTGATTGCTTCGACGAATATTTGGCGAATCCATAATTTTTATGATGAACCATGTACACGTCTATCAAATTTCCAAATCTGCAGAAGATATCTTTAAGAATTGCAGGACTTAAGGCAACTGGAATGCAAACCACAAAACACCTAAAACAGTACAATAACTATATAACAAAAATTTTTAGACAATTCATGGAACGAATCTTGCTATATTCGAATAGGTACATCGTAAGAATCAAGAAAGTGCTTCTTCAATTCGATAGTTTTCTTCTTTCCGCATCACGTGCCCGAGGTACTCAAGATTACCTTGTTTCACTAAATTAAGCACTTCTTTTTCTTTTCTCATGCGCTGTAGGACCTCAACGTTGGTGACATGGTCCACATACGATATTTTTAGTATCCTTCTGTAGATCCACATCTCGAAGGCTTCAATCCGCTTTTCTGTGGCTTGCGTCAGTGTCGAGGCTTCAACTCTGTATAGTAACACTGGCAGAATGTAGCACCTCACTATCCGCATCTTGGTTCCCAAACTGAGATCACTGCAGCCCAGCAAGGATCTTAACTTGATAAATGTAGACCTTCCCATTTCAATTCTGGATCTAATCTCTAAGAGATTCTAATCTCTAAGAGAATCTATGAAAGTGCAATTAAAAATATTATTTGTGAGCTTCTTCAAGGTACTTCATGCCGAAGTTTGCAACATGTTTTCTACGGTCCTTCGAGCAGGATAGTCAAACAGTTTTCAATCAAAGTTATCCACGTCCCAACATTTTCGATACAGTACCTCAAACATATTTTATAGAATCAACTTACCTTGCTACAACTTCTGCATCGGGATCTGAAACTGGTTGACGAGGAGGTAATGGTTTACTACACATCGAAACGCTTTCGTATGGATCTGGTAATAAACCTGATCTTGCATTGTCTAAAAATATAAAATTATTTAATCAACTAAGATAAGAGTTTTATAACAACTAAATGAGCCCTATGAGCCTGTGTCGTCAGTCGAATGAGTATATGAGTAGATTCACCACATGAGTTTTGTGCTATACTTTTTTCATTAAGTATTTTTTAAATGAATAATCGAAACATTAGTGTTCAGTCCGCTCCACAATAACTAGATACTTGTAGCTTTTCAGTGTAGCTTCGTTTCAGGCAGATTGTCGAAGGTGGTGAAGGAATCAACGTAGACGGGAATTGATATCGTTCTCCTCAACAACTTATGACACGTCCAACAACAGAAAATTCTGGATCACGACCTATAAACCCTGACAACAGTGTCTTTACGAAAGACTAGCTGCAAAAGCCTACAATCCATGAGAAATTAATGTGTAGAAAAAAATGCAGTAAAAAAAGTAATACAGCTTTATTTTGAGTTGTTTCTTAAAAAAGTATAAAAACAAATGGCAAAACATATTTCTATATGCCGGAGGTAAAGGACACCATGTCCATTTTTTAGCGAAATTGAGTTAACGTTACTTGATGTACATTTTCTGCTCTACAAAATGGTATAAAAAACCATGTCCAACTACTAAAAATTGCAAAAATAGCCAATGAGAAATAACTTCATGTCCTGATTAATTCAGCGGTAAACAACACTTGTGGACATGATGCTGTAGATTTCTGAAAATTAAAAAAGTATAAAACATCATGTGGACATAGTGTTCTATACTACTGCAGCTACGTTTGATTAAATAATTTTGGCAACAAACTTCACCTCTGACTATTGAAAATGTTGTTCAACATATTTCTTCTTCTTCTTCTTTCCCATACTACGAGAGTTATTAAAGCAGAGAAAAAACGCAGTTTAAATACTTGGGTCCAGAATTAAACAAAGAAAAAACGTACACTTTGTATCTACAGTTTTGTGAATCAAACCAAATAGCAAAACAATTTATAGCTAAAAAAGGGCCTATTATGATTTCTTTGATAAACAATTTAAGTTGTCATTTAAACCACAAGAGGTAGATACTTGTGACGACACCAGGCCAGGCTTAAAGATAACCATTTAAGTCAAATAAACAGAAACGTACTTCAAGCTGAATACCAGTCACATTTGGCAGAATCAAAGCGACGGTGCAACCGTTAAAAGTGAAGATACAAGAATGTCTAGAAGCACTCCGACACATAAAGTTTTAACTGATCTTCAAAAATGTTTTTGAACAATATTTATAACAAATGGCATAAGTTTTTATAAACGGAAATTGTGGACACTAAATTACACTCTTTTTGATTCATCAGATAAAAGTGTTCACTGTATGATGTGGGATGAGAGTAAAGCTTGCCGAGATGGAGAAGAAATATCATCAGCAATTTTGAAGTGGGCTGACAGTGTAATCCCCACATCAGAGGTAATTGAAATTACGTTATGGTCAGATAACTGCTACGGCCAAAACAAAAATATTTTAATTATTATGGGTTTCTTCTTGATCATGCACAAGTATCCTCAAATTAAATATGTAAATCTAAAATACCTTCTTAAAGGGCACACGCATATGGAGGCCGATACAGTCAATGCATTAATTGAAATAAAACGAAAAAAACTGAATAACATGACAGTATTAACCCCATGGGACTGGCAGCAGATGGTTCGCATGTGTTCAAGTAATTATCGTGTGTACAATATGGAGCAAAATGACTTAAAGCACTTTAATACACTTTTTTCAGGAAAAGCTGCGCCTTTCATTCATCGAAAAAAGAATGTTGAAAACGATAAGGTTCTCCTTTCAACATGTGTTCATATTCAAATGCGACAGGAGACCATTGTTATGGTCTACTTAAAGTCATCATTTGATAGTGAGTTTATCGCAGTTAACCTTAATAGATTGACGAGAAGTACAAGATCGAAAAATAATGATTTGCCATTACATCTGCCAATTAAGTCACCAGTTCCAATATCACAAAAAAAATATGATGACTTAATTTCATTATTACCGTATATACCCAGCGTGTTTTATAAAAATATTCAGAAAACCAATGATAATAATGAAGAATATCCTGAGAACAATGATATTGATTCTTTAGAGAATTAAAACACTTTTGTTAAATAATATTTTGACTACTGAGTTGTTTCTTTTAGTAAGGATCCAAAATTTATTTTTATTAGACATAAGTCAAACTTGGTAATGTTTTTTGATAATTAACTTTTTGAGTTTTTGTAGTGTTCACGTTGGTAACAATTTTTTATTTGTAACTCATTAAGATTGTTCTTATTATTAATAAAAAGATGTATGAATAAGTGTAGTGTTTTTGCTTTATTTGTTGTTATATACCATCAAAGACCATTAAAAACAGTAGCTGTCAAAATATGAATTCACAACATTATATCCAAATTTTAATGTTTATGTTCAGAGGTGTACAGCACTATGTCCAAAATAATTTTTTTGTAGCTAAAACAAAAAATTTTATTTTTGTAAAAATATCTTTATTTAATATGGAAAACCAAAAACAGTATGTTAAAAATTCGATAAGCTACGTCTTTAATTAAAACAGAAAACTTAAAATAAAACAAAAAAATCAAAAAATGGCTCTCTTGAACATTTTTATTTTTGTGACATGGTGTCCTTTACCTCTGGCATACAGATTTTAATTTAAATTTCAGGACTAAAAGTGCACCAGTATTAAGTTGGAAAGATACTCCTTCAAAGTATTAAGTCATTAAAAAAATTAACTGTAACTCTTGCCCTTTACCACTGTAACATGTGCAAGGGGTAATCAAAAAGTTACTATTACTAGTGCTTGGAAGTTTTCTTAACTGTTAAAAATCCTTCGAAATGATTCGTTCCAAAAATAAAAAGCAGTTCTCCAACGTCGTTTCCACTACTAAAAGGGTCAGCATTTTAAAATTAAAAAAAAGACGATTATATAAGAAAAACTTACCTGCTGGGATTCCGGTCTTCTGTTGGAGCAGTGAATTAGCCTGGGCAATTGTTTCAGCAAGTCTCATAATTTCAGACGAGTTGCTAAAATCCGATGCTGACCGTTTATGTCGATTTCCGTTGCTGGAACCACCTACAAAATACAGTTTTAATTATTTCACGTAAACAATGAACTAAGAACACGTTTAAAAGTAACTAGTGATTTGAAACAAAGTTTTTTCGATCGTTTTTGTCGCAACAAACGGTCCCAAACCATTTGTATAAATCCAAATATTTTAAACTATTAACATAAAACACATAAAAACGGTATTAACCAACCCTAAGTCTTCTTTGTAGCGGGTTAACTGTGTATTTCAATAAATATACAATAAATGCACACAAAAAACAAAAAAAAAATAGTCCATTTCGGTTTAAACATGTTTAAAATAGAGACTTTACAAGAAAATATTTATTACATAATATCAAATAATGATATTGTTTAATTAGCTTTTATAGAAATGAAAGAAACATCTAGGTTGTCCCGGATGACCTAGATTACACTAGAACAAATGTCTAGTGTAATCTAGGTATTACACTAGAAATAGGTATTACTACATTATACTCTGTACTAAATAAGTTTGATAATATCTTAATCAGACTAAAACTGGATAATGGGTTTTGGCGCCTTATGATGATTGGTTGGAGTCAGAGGAATTTGCGGAGATAGTGTGTAGTACAGTTCTTTTAGGGAGAAATTTGATTGTTACCCTAGTAGAATCTTGGATAAAAGTGGCCCTCCAAATTAAGATAAAGGCGTCAGCCTGTATTCGGTCCAAACAGAGACCCAAAACGAAAAAATGTAAAGTAAGATATGCGAACAAACCACAAGTGTAACAACAAATAAAATAATTATAACAACTTATCCTTTTTAAAGGGTATACACAAGCATACTCGATGTTTACATCTTACTTTCAAAACGAAAAGATTTGAGAATTTGGGAGTTTTTATACATAGAAAAATTACTAAATTCGAATTTTGACTGAAATAAACTCAATTCTTGGGTGGCCCATAACGGTAATCCTTAACCCTACAACCACACGGTGACGTCGGATCCGACATCGAGTCTGACATTTTATGCGTATAAGGTATTGTGGTGGGGTTGGCGTCTACTGCCGTCTAGTACCCTCCTAAGTAGTTGTTCTCTTGATGCCCACGAAGGGCACGAAGTAAGATGAGTCAAACGTTTTTCGTTCGGATTTTATTACGCGTTGATGTCGGATACGACGTTACCGTGTGGTTTACGTAATAATTTTTTTTAGAAAATGGAATTTAATCGAAGATATTTATCTAAAAAGGAGATCTTGAAAGAAATTTCTAAAATAGAAGATGGAGAAAGCGATTCATCCATAGATGGCAGTGTAAGTAAAATTAAGGGCAATATTTTATCGGATCATGACTATGAGGATATCGAGTATGTACCCTCTGACTGTGACGAAAATGACAAAGGTATGAACGTGCCTTTAGCAAATGAACCACTAGATGAGAGAAACTTTTTGGGTACAGACAATGAAACAATGTGGACTGACATTCCATTGAGTAGTATTAAACAATGGTAGTATACTGGAGATTCTACTGGACATTCTACTGGAGACTTAAATCAAATTTCCAATAAATCTAATTTAATAAAATTCTACAATATGACGAAGAGGGGAGTCGACGTCTTTGATCAGTGCTGTCATTCAAAGACCAAAAAAAGAAAAACCAACCGATGGTCTATGAGGTACTGTTTTGGAGTCCTTGACGCTGCTGCTGTGAATGCTTTTGTAATTTACAAACTGAATGTAGATACATCTGTTTCGAGATCTCAATTTTTAAAAAACTTATCGCTCGCCTTATCGGCTACTCACATGGAGCGAAGAATTGAAAATTCGAGAATTACAGTTATCCTAAAGACGCAAATATCTATATTGCTGGAGAAAGATGTCCCTTCTGCTACAAATATAGCTGCTGACGCTCAAAAAGGCCAGGATTGTGTGCCTTCTGTGATCGGAGAAAGAGAAAGAGAGGAAATTACAGATGTGGCCATTGTAATAAAAGTGTGTGTGGTGAGCACAAACGAATTGTTTGCCCCCAGCATTATAATTAATTAATAAAAATTTTGTAATTTTTTATTTTGTTTAACCGTTTTTGTTGTTTTTCTGTTCCATTTTTAACTTTTATATAAGAATCATTAAAAGTGTATTATTTTTTATTCGTTATTAAATTTTTCTTTACATAATTTAACTTATTCCTGACACCACAAATTGTATAATCAAAAGAGATATTAAAACACTATTGTGATTTCTTTGACAATTAATTAAATATTAGTGTGCTCAGAAATAAATTTTACATTTATCTAACTGCAACATAATTTGATGTGTAAAGATGGATACATGTTATATTTTATAAATAAATGTCTATCCTTCCGATAACTATCTGTCAGATAGGACAATATTTATCTGGAGGTGAAAAGACCATCCCTTTCATGCAAGAAGTTCATTATTTTAAAAATTTAATATTTAATTCTTCTGAAAATTTTGTTGATCTTAAAAAATTGTTCAAAAAAGACAAAATCACTAGTTTAAAATTAATAAACGAATATAATGAGTGAGAATTTAGTAAAATAATTAAAAATTAGAGAAAATGTATGATAGAGATGAGATCAAGAGCTACAATTAGGCGTTATACAAAATTTAAACCTACTTGTATAAGCCCAGCATTTACTGAGCTTAAATCGTACATATCGTTGCTAAATAGTCGGCACATATATGGGTTAGAATGTGCAAAAAATTAGAGTAGAACGTTTAGAATGCAAAATAATAGAATCAAATTTGTGACATTATATTTAAGAACAAGCCTGGTGCAATTTGCGGCTTGAATGCCATAAGATTTTGTGTAGGCGGCGATTAACTGATGCTGAATGTATAAACCCACTGTTCAGAGTAATAATTTAACTTTTGTTTCTAATATTGTTGCCGTTTTTTTTAAGCTTTTAAGTACAAATTCATCCATCTCATTTAAATAGATAAACAAATTTACTTACTTCCAAATGCTGTGTTAGCTTTAACAATCAACCGTTCTCCTGGGGGATATTCGAAGCCGTGGAATTTTTCTATGGCATATTGCGCCCAATGTTCGTTTTTAAACACCACCTCATATTTATTTAATTGGCGATTGTTTTCGTCATATTGAACCTGGCAAAAGTCCATACCTTAAAAAAGAAATACAATTAAAAATAACGTCTATTTGTAAGTCTATATGGTACGAATTAGTGAATCTTAATAATTTGTGACTTCGTAAACTTTAAAGTCCGGAATTTGGGACACTCTGTACGCACAGACGTGCGACGTCCATTAATTAGGAGTGAAAATGATGGATATCTGAACTGTATTTCCATCACTCTCACACACATTTCGCTGGTGGTCTCACTCTTATGAACATTAATTATGGTACTTTCAAATTTCCCCAGATCCACGGAAATTGTAACGTCGCCTCCTTTTATATGTACATGATTGACGTAACAATTTTCCCAGACTGAGCCACAAATATCATACCTTCTTAAATTCTGAAGTACACTAGAGATCAGTTTTGTTTGTTATTTAGATTTGTGAAGGCTGCAAAAGACTCCACAGATCTAGAAATATATACGATTCTCGCGAGAACACAATCATGTAGGTTTTGCCTAAAATTTACGAAGAAGTAATTAAAACTTTTACTTACTCGGTACAATGTCAAATAATCTCCAAAGTTGACTTTGGTTCACTGAATAGCTGGCAATTACATTTAGGGAAAAACAACCATCCTCTTTGAAATCCATCGGGGGAGCTCTATCATTCCTTGTCAAAGACGAAAATTCAGGTCTAGCAGTAAATTGAAATGGATCAGACCTAAGACTCTGGAGCTCAGCTCTAGATTTACGTGGTTTGGCAAAAACGGCTTTGTATTTCTTATCACATTCGTCTACTGCGTGGGCTGCATCTGAAAACCTACAGAATATGAGTATATAAGAATCATTCGAAAAACTATTGAGATGTATAAACGCCCCGATTGTGTCAACAAAACAAAAAGATGGTTCGTTTTAGCTAGAATTACCTGTACGTTTTGTAAACGTAGATATATTTGGAAAATTGGAAAAACTTACTTGTGAAATTTGACATAAGCGAATGGTTTGTTTTGTTTAGTTTCTCTGTCGTGGACGATAGAGGCAAACACTAATGGACCAAATTGTTTGAAGTGGTTATGGATTTCGTTGTCATCTGCTGTTTTTGACACCACAATGAACAATCTTTTGAGATCTTCCTCGTCAATATCAGCTTTGGAGTCCTGACCTGCTTCACGACTAAAAAATATGTACCAGAATATATCAAGAATTTAACTTAGACTTGTAGTAGAGTATTAGTTTGATCTTCAAATGATGTAGTCAACATCTGTACTCCAGTTCTTCTTCAGTACTTCTTCAAATCTATTATATAAAAATGAATCCCTATCCCCTATGTCACTCTATAACTTAAGAACAGCTTTAACAAGTTTATTCATCTTTTTTTATGCTTCATAATACTCTGCTGAAGGTTAAATTCTCCTGAAAACACCTACTCTAATGAAAATTCATTTTCAGAAAGAAAAAAACCTACAAGGTTTTCACAAAAATTATATCCATTGTCATTTATAAACAAGGAATATCACACAAAGGAAACCTAGTCGAATTAAGGGCAAAAATACTTCATTTCTCTGCAAGCATTACACCAGCCCTACTCCAAAATATGAGGAGAAATCTGTATGACAGATTTGGATACTGTTTAGCACAAGAAGGTGGTATATTTGAGCCCTTAATTCATTAATCTGCTTTCCTAATTTTTATTTTTTGTTAGGTACATTTTACGAAGTTTTTAGGTTATTAATTAGGTAGTATTTTTTATGTTTGGAGGAATTTTATTATTTTTTTTATTTTAAAGTACAAACGATTCTTATTCTGATTTTTTTTTCTTATTTCTTGTCTTATTGTTATAAGCTTTGTCCATAAAATTTGTACAATTTTCAGTGACAATAAAGCATATTACTTATTTACTTACTTATTTATTTGTATTTTTATTGAGGCTAAAAAATAACCAAAAAATAAGTTTTAGAGCATTATAATAAATGTACTCTAGAGATGGGATTGCAATAAATCTTAATTCCTATGGTCAACAAAACAATGTCATCATCTGTATATTTTAAACATGAGCTATTATCATCTGCTTGCTTTGTAAATTGTAGAAGTCACAGACAGGGCCAGCGATAACTGGTCTGCAAGGGATGCACTGCAGGCGGGCGCCCCTGTTTGGGTGCCCAAAAAAGTAAAATAGAAAAGCTAGTGTTATACAAAATACGCTAATCTTCTGTGTTTTATTATTTGTACATTCCCACACATGTAAAATATATAAGGCCTATATAGAGTAATAGAATTTATTGGTAAACATATTATGTTTTGAAAAATGAGCAACTTTGCACTTATTTGAAATAATTTGTTTATTTTCTTCAATTTTGTTTGAAATTGTTTAAAGGTTTTGTCTCAGCTTGATTTGTACATACTTGATTTGTAGTAAAATAAACATTTTACCTACATAAAATTTAGTTTATCTGGAGTATTCTTTATTTATTTATTAACGGAATCCATTTACAGAAGTTTTAACAAAGCTACACCTTAACTGTGTTGTGGGGTGAAATTCACCCATGTTGTTCATTAGAGTTGTTAAAATAGTGGCAACATCGCCAGATTCCTCTGCAGTGTAACTTTCAAAATTCCCATTTCGTCTTTAAAAATTAGAATGATAGCGACTATATTTAGTTGTTTAAGAGTTATTTTTTAACTAGAAGTAAAAACACTTACTTATTTGCAATCATTACTTTTAGAGGTCTTCCACCTAAATTGGTGCCTCTCATCTCTTCAAGGGCCAGAGCTGCATCAGCAGTTTTATAATATTTTACATAAAATATTCCTGAAATGTATTAAAATATGTTAGCTACAGTTTCATTTAGTAGTGGCCATTATAATACCAGCCATAAGCAAAAAGGGAAGAATGGTAGTAAAACAATTCAAAATTGGATAAAGAAACAGATAAATGAAATGAAAAGCACACAAACAAAGGCATATATGAAAATGAAGTGTCTCAATTCATGTTCATTGTCATTTAAATGCTGTTCATCTGCAGTTTTGTGAACTGCTTGTGGAATAGATATGTTCCCTATTCTATATCAGAAACAAAGTATTTTAGTAATTGATCATTTGGTCTTTTATCTGTGGTACTAATTGTTCCTTGGAGGAACAATTAGTACCACAAAGATTTTTTGGAATGTGAATTTGTTGTAGGAATATTAGAAATGGAGATAAAAAAAGATACAATCATCTGTAACTTTGGGTTTTATTTGGAGTCAGCTTTGATGTTAGAAACAATTTCCTCAATTGGAAACTTTTTGAGAAGGCCTTTGAATAAAATACTGTTTTCTGTAAAGGTCAACAGCAATCTCCAGCTGCAAAAGGAATTTGACAATGATTGACAATACAATTAATCAGTTATATAAGGATAATGAAACTTCAGATGAATAATATTTCACTTCTAAGATACTTTAATCACTATTAACCAAACCCCTTTATGTACAAAAAATGTTTTGTTTTAAGATATTTTGAGAGGTGGTGTGAATTTTGAAAAGTAAACTACTTACATAAATATGTGTTTAATATTAGGATGTTCTTTACTAAAGGCTCAGTGTGCTCAGACATGAGAGATTGCACCACTGTTAGCTTAAGTCAAACATCTTCAGTGGAATATTAGAATTTCCTCTGCATTTTGCGTAAGTTAATTCATCCAGTTTTTATTTAATGAAACTTGCACCTTTATCTTTAGAAGAAAATTAATTGTAATCTTTCATGCAATAGATCTAACCTAAACTAACACTAGCACCCCCTTGTCATACCACTGCTGAGTAAAGAAAAAAATTAGGAGTAAATGACACCATAATATTCTTTTATAAATTTACAAATTAGCTAAAGAAAACATATAGTATTACATACCTTTATAGTCGCCAGAATTTCTGTCTTTTACAGCCCACACATCCTTAATGTTACCGAACTTACCAAAAACACTTTTGATATCATCTTCCCTTAAATCTTTTGATGCCACTACAAACAGTCTTGAGTAAGGAGCATCATCTTCATCAGCAAATCTTCTGTCAGTCATTTTTAATGCAGTAGCTAAAATAAAAAAAGGTAAGTACTTTTTTGATATATTTGACAAATCAATATTTTAAAAAAATAAGTGGAATAAAAAATAATAATAATTTAGTTCCTATAGAAAAAACATCGAAAACATGTCTAGCCAAAGGTTTAATAAGTACAAGGATAAAGGAAGATAAAGTCTTTTTAAAATTTACAGATTTTAAAGCACTTTTTACTCAAACAGAAGAAAGAAATATACACCTAGTTAAATTGACAGGATTATTGGGAATATTGAGTAAAGTGGTAGGGAATCATTATTGCAGAAGCATTAATTATTAATAAATAAAGCAATTTTAGGAAATATAACAAAAAAAGATTAAGAATAATAATTGTGTTAAGTGTGTTAACGGCCAAAGTTGTTATAACCTCTAACCAAAGAATATAGACGCTTATAAGCTTATAAGCGTCTATATTCTTTGCTCTAACTTTGGTCTTTTTAACACAATTCTTAAATAATCTCTTTTTGAAAACAATTTCCAGCGTAGAAATCGAAACGTTAAATTTTTAGTTAAAAATGTAATTTTCATTCCAATCAATTGTAGCTTATAAACGTATATATAAACACAATTTTTAACTGAGACTTTAGCTTGAGACACGCAACAAGAGAACAGTTTCAGAACCAGTGATCACTGTTCAGAACATTAACATAAACTATACTAAAATCTGATATACCTACTACAAAACTGGAACGTTATATTGTATCCACACCTTTCTCTATAAAATAATATTTTGGTAATTACTTACATTAGTAAGGATAGTCGGATTAGTCTGAAATTTGGACAGTGGATTATGTTTTATTTTTTATTTACTTTTCAATCTATACATTTTTTTACGCTGAGCTATAGTTTTTCTGTAATTCGCATTTAAAAAACTGATATTTTGACATAAATTTCAAGATGCCGCCGCCATTACAGCTGCTGTCAATGATGTGCGTGTGCGTAGTACATACTTCTTGATCCAATGTTGCCACACTTTTCAAATATATTGTTTATTGTGAAAATATTAATTCTCAAATTACAATCATAAAGGAATAATGATGATGAGTATTATTTCCATTTTCTGTTTCTAAGGGATACATATAACAGTATTTCATTTGTTATTAACTGATGTTATTACGTATAGATTATAGCTTATTTCGTTTTATGTTGCATTTAGTTGGATGCATTAGTTATCAACTTCTTTATTAGTTTAAATTGTTAGATGATATGAGTAGATTAGGTTTTAATTTGTTTTTTTATTGGTACTCCATTTTGCTTATTTAAAGTACGCCGTAGCGTGTTTAACCACAGAATAAGAAACAATCATAATGCTCACTTTCAAATGCCGCCTTTTTTAAAGTTTTTCAGCACGCTATCGCCATGTTTTAAACGGAACCATAGACTCGAATTGAGAAATTTGTGACAAGATACGACAAAACTGTAATTTAAATTTTTAGAGATTAATAATTTAGTTAATTTGAAATAATTTTAATAATTAATAATAATTTTGAAATAAATTTAATAATAATTGGACTAGTTTGGATTTGGTTTTATTATGTTATTTAATAGTCAATATCGAGTTTTGCAAAAACACTAATCACTAATTTATATGGACATATATTCTTATTAAAACTTAAATTCAATATAGTTACACCGCAAAAAAAAATATTAAATCATATGTGGTACACTTTTAAAAAACTATGTTAATCATATGAAATCGTAGGCTTCCACGGCCAGAGTCAGAATTATAGTTTATTCGTCTTCCGGGTTTGGACCGTGTTATTTGTGAGTGACCCAAAAGTGGGTTCATCTCGACGTTTCGCTACAATTATATGTAGCTTCTTCAGAGAAACAAAGAAAAAGAAAAAAGAAAACAAAAGAACAGGAAGATGGGTAGTTAGCAACGGTAACTCAGTTACTCAACGCAACCAGAGGCGAATACTAACTACCAAGATGGGCATTTGGTCACAGTAACTCAACTACTCAACGCAGCCAGAGGTGAAAACCAAATGCCAGGACAGGGATTCACGTCCAACAGCTCAGAACACTAACGCGTCGAGAGGCGGGGAGTGAATCCGACGATTACTCCGCTACCGCTCTATTTATAGTCGCGGTGCCTGTCGTGTCGGGACGTATCGGCACACTTCGTGGCGCGAACGTCAAGAAGCGCGCGCTGGCCAATCATAGACCGGTCCCGCCACCACATGATCTTCCTGTTCTTTTGTTTTCTTTTTTCTTTTTCTTTGTTTCTCCTGAAGAAGCTACATATAATTGTAGCGAAACGTCGAGATGAACCCACTTTTGGGTCACTCACAAATGACACGGTCCAAACCCGAAGACGAATAAACTATAATTATGTTAATCATTGTACTATACTCTTATTAAAACTTAAATTCAATATATTTACTCTGCAAATAAAAACAATAATAAGTCATATAGAGTATACTCTTATTAAAATTTAAATTCAATATATTTACTCCGAAAAAAACAAATGTGTATGTGGCAACATTGAACCAGCGTGGAATATCTTATGTTGTGCGCAAACGCGCTTAACTTATTCTTCCAAATAAATGAATTTTATTGGCCATTTTACAATATTTTATATTTTTGGATAATTTAACGGAGAAAATGACTGGTATTTACAATTGATTTATACATTTTATATAACTTTTACGGCTATTTCGTATTTCGATTATATTTTTCTCTTGCTAATTTTTGATTTTCTATACTTTTTATGAAATTTTTTCAATTTTTTTTACATTATTTTACTTTTTGTATGTTTCCGTAGACGGAAACATGAAAATTTTGCCTTTTTTTCATTTTTCAGGCTAAGTCCCCGAAAAATTCGCATTTTTAGGGACCCTTACTAATGTAAACAATTACCAATATTTTTAATTACCTTTTAAAAAGTAGAAAATTAATGCTGTAATTTTATCAACAAACAGCAGTAAGCGGTAAGCCGCACCGCACCCCGCACTCCGCACTGTCAAGTGCACAGATAAATTAAACCTAGATTGGTCACAAAGATAGCCAACATAAACGCACGCTTTTATTTGACACCCTTCTGTTTGGTGGCACTGCTAGTCTTGTTCCTGCGCGTTGTTCGTTGTCACCAATGACGTATAAAAATATATTATACGTCATTGATTGTCACTTTATGTCCACAGCACACTCCAAACTAGCAGTGTCAGTTTTAAGGAGTAAACTACAATTGGCGCATTGCCTAGTGCCAGGGTGCGTAACTATATGTATACATGGCGATTAATACAAAAGGCAAAATTAGCTATTATGGAAATGTAAATTCATTTTAAAAGAAAAAAAATCAATATATTCCTAAAATAATGAAGAAACGGTTATTGTATACTATATGCAAAGAATATAGACGCTAAGCGTCATTATTCAATCCAACACGTATCAATGGATGGATATCAAATATTAATTCTCTGAAGTTGCTTTGGAATGATTTAAAGAGCAATTATGGGTTTCAATTTCTTTTTACAAGAAGGCTAACCCAAGACTGTATAGAAAATTTATTTTCTATTATTAGGGCTAAGGGTTTTACTAATAATGCACCTGACAGTGTGAAATTTAGGTGCAACTTGCGATCTGTCATGGCAAATAGTTACTGCAACCATCAGCGGACAGCAACAGCGACATTGATGCTTGTTCATTTTTAATTCAAAAAGATGAAATGCTCAAAAACCCAATTAAAGTATTGCTTAATAATCCTATCGAGCATTGCACCGAAAACGACATAAGTAATGACAATTACGATATGATCGAAAAAAATTCTGAGACTTATGTGTTAGGATGGGTTTGCAGTCATTGCCTCACGAACAATGTAGAAATGCAGTATGTAACTCTTTTAATAATTATTCTTTAAAAAATAACTTAATGAGTTAAAAAATATGAGAAATCATCTAATTTTAAATTTCCAAATGATGAAGCCAAGGGAGCTTCAGATAAAATTAATGAAATATTTAAAAGGTATTTTCAAAATTATATATAAAGAAAGCGTTGAAAATGTTAAGTATAAATTGAAATTGAAATGAGCCTTTCAAGAAACTCTCCAAAATGTATGTACAAATTGTTACAAGACTTTTATAGATAAATATTTTATTATAATGATAAATTATAATGTAAGATAAATATTAATGTAAATTAAATTAAATTAAATTAAATTAATAAATTAAAAAATTAAATTAATGTAATAAATTAATAAAAGCTTATGTAAATAAAATTAACGACAGTAATAAGGAAAAATTATATAAATTAAAATATAAAAATATCAAAAAAAAGAAAATAACCCACAATTAAATTTGTAATTTGATTTAATCTATAAATAAACTAATAAATTACACTTATTAAATAAGGCTGCATAAGTTTGTAGTTATGTATAGTTACGCACCCTGGCACTAGGCGATGCGCCAATCATCGTTTTACTTGTTAACACGGGACTGGCACTGCTAGATAGAAGTGTGCTGTGGTCAAGTGTCAAAACAACTACCCTACCCAGTTTAATAAATCTCTGATTGGTTGATAAAATAGAAACCAAACCACAAAATTTAAATATTTTCTATAATAATGTAATATCGTTTTTTCATTTAAAAATGCACACTAACACTAATCAAAAAATAAAGCTGATAAATATTGAGGAGGTATGTAGACTGTGTGCCAATAAACACGAAAGCGTAGCTGGAATATACACATCTGAAAATAATGATTTGGCTGCGAAAATTAATTTTTATTTGCCAATAAAAGTAGATAAAGCCGACAAATTACCCCTTAATTGTTGTGTAAAATGTGCCTCAGCAGTTATTGCTTGGTACGATTTCTATCTAACTTGTTTAGAGTCTGATAAAACATTTAGAAACTATCAAATTTGTAATGAAGAGTTGATTTCTAAGGAAGTCGATAGCGAAATATATAGGTAATATGCACACTAACACTAATCAAACAATAAAGCTGATAAATATTGAGGAGGTATGTAGACTGTGTGCCAATAAACACGAAAGCGTAGCTGGAATATACACATCTGAAAATAATGATTTGGCTGCGAAAATTAATTTTTATTTGCCAATAAAAGTAGATAAAGCCGACAAATTACCCCTTAATTGTTGTGTAAAATGTGCCTCAGCAGTTATTGCTTGGCACGATTTCTATCTAACTTGTTTAGAGTCTGATAAAACATTTAGAAACTATCAAATTTGTAATGAAGAGTTGATTTCTAAGGAAGTCGATAGCGAAATATATAGGTAATTATGTATTGTATTATTTTTATACGTGAGTATACCAAGTATACCTATTAACCTATAGGTATAAAGGGTTTTCACTATCCGTAAAAAAGTTTCGAAACACAACGCCTATGAATAACTGTTCTGATGAGATGTATTAGGTCGAAATACGTATCAACAGATACACAGACGCTGTTTGCGTAAAATCAAATATTTGCTGTCTTTTTCATTTTATATGTTTTTCATTATGTTGCTAGGTAAAATTGTCAAAGGTTGGAGTGTAATTAGTATCTAAAGACACTTCCAAATAGCCTATTTTAATTTTCTTATTGTTTGCTTCTTGTTTAAAAAAAGAAACCAAAATTTCTAATATAATTTCTATTTTTGTCTATATTAGATGTAGTTCTCTCTTGTATTTTACCATTTATATTAATTGTGTGGCCTTTCACTTCTCCCATAGGTGGTGTTACTCCTAGACCTTTACTAGTAACATTGAAAATAAAACAATACTCTCAGAGAGCAAATTATTCTATTGTTCGTTCCATCTATTTTTTTATCTTTGTAAACAATTGTGAGGACTTGTAGTACTCTTAAATTAAAATTTTACTCAAAAAATTGTTACTTCACCACAAATTTTCAATTTTTAGCGCAGAATCTCCACAAACAAATGAAAAATACCTTGAATCTGATATTTTTGACAAAAATAATGCTTTGAGTAGTGATGAAGATGATTCTGAAGAAATAAAAACTGCTGATAATAATAATACAAACATAGATTATCTCCAAGTTGTAGATTTATCAGCTAAGAGTTGTATATTGTGTCAATTGAGCTTTCCAACAAGGACACAACTAAAAAATCATGTGTTAGAAGTTCATAATATAAAACAGACAAAACTGAGAAGAAAAAAGGTAGAACTTAATGCTATATTTGCTTGTACTGTTTGCAAAAGAAGTTTCACAAGAAAGTTTGATATGCAGAGACACATGTTAAAGAAGCATCCTGATAGTAAGAAAATAGTTTGTTTATTGTAATAAAAAGATTTTGTTTTATAGTCGGCACATATTTTGGTAATAATATGCAAGTATTTGCAGTTAAATTATTTCAAAAATAATAAAATATCTGATTTTCAGATAAAATTGCTAAATTAATTCAAAGAAATACTTTGCCATTCTTTTCAATATTATATTTTTATAAAATCTTATTTTTTAGCATCTGTGGAACCATCAATCAGATCCAAGAATTCCGAATTATTGAAAAAATGTAAAGTAATAGACTCAGAGCTAAGTTATTATGAATGTGATATTTGTCACACCAAACACAAATCAAGTTCGAGTTTCGTTCTACACTACAACATTCATATAAATAAGAAATTACATTGTTGCCACCTCTGTGGGAAGAACTTCCAAAGAGGCGCGCATTTAAAACGACACGTAGATCGTTTACACTACGGCATTCGAAGGTACTCTTGTGACTATTGCGACCAGACATTTACAAGCAAAACCACCAAGGATGAACACTTAAATACTCACACCAATTCGAGACCTTATATGTGTGACACTTGCGGTAAATCCTTTAGACAATCATCCTCACTGTATGTCCATAAAATGTTTCACAAAGACATCTTTCCGTTTTCCTGTAATGTTTGTGAGAAGAAATTTCGAAGGATGGGCGAACTAAAGAAACACAAGTTCATACATACAGGGGAACGGCAGTATAGTTGTGAGGTTTGTAAGAGACCATTTAGATTAAAACAAGATTTAAAACGGCACATGAAGACTCATGCTGCTGCTAAGGCTGTAGCTGTTGCTGAATGAAGGAACTACGGAATTCTGAGCTGGAATATAATCAAAATGTGATTCTTCGTTTAGTTATAGGGGAATGTCCTGATCTATTTTCATTGTTTTTGGTGTTCCAAGTACACTATGGATCTACTGAATTTTAACAGTGGTATAAATGTATAAATTTGTTGCTAAGTTTATCATATTTATAATAAAATCTTGTGAAATATCTTAGTGTAAAATTCGTGAAGGTTTTTATACATTAAAAATGTAAACACAATAATCAATTGTAGTAAACACCATGGTGTTGATTAAAGTGAATTGCATGAACACATTTGAATTTTTATTTTGAATAAAATAAAAATTTTTATTTATTCAGAAATAAAATTTTATTTTTATTTTTGAATAAAAGTTAAAAGAAAGACAGCGTAAGGGTGAATCAATCTTATTTTGAACTATATTAATGGTTTGGCAAAGGTAATACGAAAAAACTTAACATACCTACCAGGTTTAAAGCCCCCTCAGTTGAGTTTTCAAAAGCGCTGGTGTATTTTCAGTTTGTCAAAGTGTTACATACAAAACTTCAGCTACTGTTAAAAAATACTTCTTACTCACAATATGATATTTTAGTTTTTAATCAAACATGGTTAACAGATGACATAAAGAGCGCAAACTGCAAATGTTTGACTACAACATATTAGAATAGATATATCCTCAGAAACAAGTACCTTCAAAAGAGGTGGAGGAGTGCTTATGACTGTCCGGAAAATCATAACCAGTGTTCGTTTTTCAGCAACTCAAAATATCTGAACATCTGTTTGTCAATATTGAGATTGAACCCATTGATGTTTATCTTTGCAACTGCCTACTTTCCACCACATAGCATCATTGAGTAGTATGTCGAATTTGCAGAAAATGTAGATAATCTAGCTGAAAAGTATCCAGAATATAAGTTATGTATCCTGGGAGATTTTAATCTTCTCATTTGTCAGTGGTCCATTAATGGATTGTCTTCTGTGGCTTCTCCATTACCAGGAACCTCACCAAATGAAGTCAATTCCTCTCATTTTTATGTTCCTTTGATAATCTGTATCAAGTAAACACTGTTAAAAATGAAAACAACTCCTTATTAGATCTAGGCATGGTTCAAGATGAAGAGGTTGAGGTATCTAGAGCTGAGAGTGCCCTACTCCCAGAGGATAGACATCATCTTCTGCACTCATTTGGGTTTAAATGTGAATCTCAATATTTCAATGAGCCAGGTTTGATTGGAGATGGCTTTTGTAGAGACTTTCGCTCAATGAGTGTACAGGAAGTAACAAACTTTCTTTCACAATTTAACTGGGATGAAGTCTTGATGATATATGATCAACATGTTTTATGTTATTTACCTTGCAATTAATATTTTTGTTCCCCTGAAAAAGTATTCAACAAAAAGTTTCCTGTCTGGTTTTCTCCAGAGCTTAAAAAAATAATAATCAAAAAAAGAAAATGCTTAAAAAATTATCTAAAATCTCAATTACTTGCTGACTATAATGAATTATCTTTATTACGAGCTAACAGTAAACAACTGAAAGAACAATGCTATCTTGATTATGTAGCTCTAACTGACTCCTATCTGAAAGATAATGTTAAAAATTTCTGGAAATTTGTTAACAGTAAAAAAAACAGGAATAATATTCCTTCTGTTATGCACTATAATATTTCTTGCTCTTCTGGCATGAAGATTGTCAATTTATTTGCTGAATACTTTTCCAAAACTTATAGTACCTAATAAAGATTTTGATTTGCAGGATGAAACCTTTTTAACAGAACACATCAACCTATCACAATTTAGCATTTCTGTTTCGTCTATACATGAAAAACTTTCCATTTTGGATAGCAAAAAGTCACTTTGGCTTTTTACTTTCTAGACCTCCTTTTCACATTTTTAACCTATCATTAAAGACAGGGATGTTTCTGGTCTACTGGAAAACTAGCTTTATTACCCCAATACTAAAATCTGGAGATAATATTCTAATCTCTAGTGAACCTTGTCTGTGACTATTTGTCAGCAACTTTAAAAGGCTGTTTTATCAACCAGCAATTTGGATTTCTCTCTAGCCGCTCCACTAAACTTAATTTATTGACATTTACTGATTTACTTATATAATCACTTGAAGATGGCTTCCACGTTCATGCTGTATACACGGACTTTACAATGGCGTTTGACCGGGTAAATCACAAGATTTTAATCAATAAGTTGAGAAGTCTGGGTATCCAGGGTGAATTTTTAGAATGTTTGTTATCTTACCTAACTGAAAGAATACAAATAGTATGTTTTCAGGGTTTTCAATCGTTTGGGATTAAGGTACTTTCAGGAATACCACAAGGATCACACCTAGGACCTCTTCTATTCAATAACTATGTTAATGACACTGCCTCCTATTTCCTCTTTTTCTTCTTTTCTAATGTTTGACGATTTAAAATTATATTTGAAAATTTAGAATGATAGTGACTATCAAAAACTACAGTCTGATTTGGATCGGTTGAGCTATTGGTGTGACAGCCACGGAATGGAACTTAATGTTAAAAAGTGTCATTAATGGTTTTTGGTCGGAATAAAACTCCTACAAATCATATCTATACTATTAATGGTTGCCCTTTAGACTGTGTATCTCAGATAAAAGACCTAGGTGTTGTGCTCAATTCTAGCTTATCCTACATCCCCCATATCTCATCTGTTGTCTCAAAATCAATTCAACTTTTAAGGTTTATCAAACGTGCTAAAGACTTTCTAAATATCCCATCAATAAAAGTTTATGGATATGAATTTTTATCCCACCCATAAAAAAAAAACGGGCGTGAGAAGATATACTTCTATACAAGCGTTCGCCGTCACAAATTTATATGGGAGTCAATCTGCACAATCAATACATATGTAATTCGATAGGTAAGAGAGAGCAGAAAGAGAAAAAGAATTAGTTATATAGGTATATGGTGCATCGTTTGCTGTATATAAACATTTGACCTGTAATAGGAGTATAGTAAATGAAGGAATGTATCAATATTTTAATGAAAATATATATTTTTAATTTCATATATGTATACAAGGAGTTGAATGCAAAAAAAAATTTTTACACATACTCTGCAGTAAAATTCATTGTTTATTTTGTTATTAATATAAAAATTACAATACAATAAATACACTGCACCATAATTCAATATAATATATATATAGTCCCAAGATTCCTAAGAGGAACATAGGGCTTCCACAAAGTGTCTCCAGCGAACTCTATTTCTGGCTAGTGCTTTGATTTCAAGCCAGGATTTTCCCATTGTTCTCCCTTCGTCCAGTACTGTCCTTCTCCAAGTTCCCTTAGGTCTGCCTACTTTCCGTCGGCCTTGGGGATTCCAATCCAGTGCTGTCCTGGCAATGTCATTTGGCGGTCTACGGAGTGTGTGGCCCAGCCATCTCCATTTTCTTCGCCTTATTTGCTTTATGACATTTTCTTGGTTGCTTTGGTTCCATAAATTTTCATTGGAGATTCGGTTAGGCCAAAATATACGAAGGATTTTTCGTAACGCTCTATTAATGAAAACTTGTAATTGGTGTACTATGGGTGCTGATATCTTCCACGTTTCGCAGCCATACAGTAATACAGCTTTTACGTTTGTGTTGAAGATTTTTAGTTTCGTTTTCGTTGGGTAAATCCTGGATTTCCATATGTTGTTAAGCATGTTGTAGGCGTTGCGAGCCTTATTTATTCTTTCATGTACATCACGCTCTGTACCCCCATTACAGTCAATTATGCTGCCCAGATATACAAATTCCGCTACTCTCTCAATTTTCTGGTCGTTGATAATAATAGGTTGGTTGTTTCTGGTACCAAATCGCATTTCTTTGGTTTTGTTGGTGTTTATTTCTAGACCAACCTTCTTTGATTCTTCTTGTACTTTGTTTACTTGGAGTTGCATGTCCTGTTTTGTATGTGCTAGGAGGCATATATCATCAGCGTAATCTAGGTCTTCCAGTCTGTTTGTTAATCCCCAGTAAATTCCTCTATTAGAGTTTACCTTTGTTAGTACGGAGTCCAGTACAATGTTAAATAGTATAGGGGATAAAACACAGCCCTGCTTTACTCCGTTTAGCATAGCTATTGGGTCAGATGTTATGCCGTTGTGTAGGATTTTGCTTTCTGTGTCACTGTAGAGTTCTTTGATGAGATTTACTATTTTTTCTGGTATTCCTATTTCCTGCAGTGCTTTCCATATGGCCGTGTGTGTGAGCGTGTCAAAAGCTCTCTTGAAGTCCACAAAGCACACAAAGAGAGGAGAGTTGAATTCCTGTGACTGTTCTACAATTATTCTTAGTGTGTTAATTTGGTCCACGCATGATCTGTTTGGTCTGAAACCGGCTTGTTCCTTCCTCAACATTGGTTCTACACTCTTTGTTAGTCGGTTGTTTATAATTATTGCTGTTAATTTATTTATAGTATTCAGAAGTGTGATTCCTCTCCAGTTTTCGCAATATCTTCTGTCACCCTTTTTTGGTATCTTTATTATTAATCCCGTTTTCCATTCTTGGGGAACTTTTCCTCTCTCCAAGCCCTTTTCAAGAGTGGTTGGATTAGCTCTGCCACTGTACCTGGGCAAGCTTTTAACAACTCTGGTGGAATATTGTCAGGGCCGGCTGCTTTGTGTGCTTTCAGTTTTTCTATGGCCATTTCTATTTCTTGCGTTGTTGGTTCGTTGGTGTTAATTCTCAGTTGGATATTGGGTATTAGGTTTTCTGCGTCTTCTGGTGGTGTTGGGACTGCACTTAGAGATTCGCTAAAATATTCATGCCATCTTTTGACTTGTTCCTGTGGCGTTGTAATATCTTCACCTGTAGCACTTTTTACAATTGGTTGGTGGGTAGTATATCTTTTATTGGCTAGTTGTTTAGTGATATTATATAATTGTCTCATGTTTTGATGTTCATCGGCGACTCGCGCTTCTTCGGCAAGATTTTCTGCCCACTTTCTTTTGTCTTTCTTTGCTGCCTTCTTGACAGCTTTATTCGCTTCTCTATAACTTTCTCTAAGTCGGTTCTTCTCTGCTGCTGTCTTGGAATTTAGTAATTCTAGATTAATGTGTTTGCGACGTTCTATTTTGTTCCACGTTTCTCTCGTAATCCACTCTTTCTTTACGTCTTTCTTTAGGCCCAGCACGTTTTCACTTGTTTCCACAAGGGCTTTGCTAATCGTTTCCCAATTTTTGTCCTGTCTTTCGTCGATTTTGGATCTCAGCTGTCGTGCGAATTCTACTTTCGTCTCGTTATTTTGTAGTTTCTCAATGTTGAACTTTTTTCGAATAGGTTTGTTCAGTTCTTTTCTATTCCTAGCTATTTTGAATCTAATTTCGGCCATCATCAGGTAGTGATCACTGGCCGCATCTGCGCCTCTCCATGATCTGACATCTAAGAGAGATGTTCTCCATTGCTTACTGATTGCAACGTGGTCGATTTGATTGTAGGTGCGGTTATCTGGCGATTTCCATGATACCTTGTGGATTGTTTTGTGTGGGAACAAAGTCCCTCCAATGATTAGGTCATGGTTACCACATAATTCAATGAAGCGTTCGCCGTTGTTGTTTCTCTGGCCAGTGCCATGCTTTCCGATAACGTGTCCTAGGTTGGTGTTGTCAGTGCCAACCTTGAAATTGAAAATTGAAATTGAAATTCAATATAATAATACAATATAAATTAAAATGCCATATTCATAAGTATTTAAAACTGCCAATATACATAACTTACTTTACGAAGATAAAAATAAAAAACCAACAAATCGGATTATGTTGTAAATTTTCATTTTATTTTAAAATTTAGCATTTTTGCGTATATTACCTATATTTAATAAGATTAACGTGAGGTTTTTAAATATTTCAAAAATAAAAAAGGAAATTCATATTGTGATTTGAACTCACAAACACTAGCGTATGAACCAAACACGTAAAGGATTTGCCAATTAGACATGACACTAACAGATTTCAAAATTGACAGTTCTCGGTCAAACAGTGATTATTTTGAAATACAAAAGCCTAAAATAATTATAAAGGTTTAATAAATAATACAAAATATATCACATAAATAATAATATTAATACATATTATATATATATATATATATATATATATATATATATATATATATATATATATATATATATATATATATATATATATATATATATATATATATAATATTAAATATATATACAAAAGGAACATTTTTATTTTTATTCTCGAGAGAGGAAAAGAGAGAAAATATATCTTCTGTCTCTTTCTTACTCATTATCTTACATATGTAATGGTTTCACAGATTCACTCCCATGCAAATTTCCAACGCCGACCGTGCGTATAGAAGTATAACTTCAATAAGGAAAAGAAAAAGAAAACAAAATCCAAATTCTTTTTAAACTTTATTTAAATGTAAATAATATTCTATAAATAATAAATATCACAATAAAACTAATATAGAGACTATATAGGGGGTTCACATATTGACTTTTTTAAATGTATTAATAAACTGAATTGTTGCTAAAATTAACATGCTAAATATATCTTTTGACGACTTCAGAACCAATTTCTGGATTGTTAAAATGTATTTATTGTTCCTAGAAATGTAGTTTCATTTTAATCTCAAAGTAATCTATATAAAGTATATAAAATAAGGTACTATATCAATCTTAATCATATTTCAGTAATTTAAAACTAAAAATATATATCAAGAGATGGTCTAGAGGTCTAGTAGAAAGTTTATTAGTAAAATGAGACAAAAACAACATGCAGATGACGCAGTAATATTTTCTGATAGCTACAAGGGCTGGGCCACCTTTGAATATAAATAGATCAAAATTTATTGTAATAACCATAGATGAAAGACGTACATACTGATGTACTGTTATAAATGAACAATATTTTCAATAGACAAAAGTTTCAGAACTTACTTTTCATAATTTCTGTCAGAAAGATCAAAGCTGATGGGTGAAATGTTTGTTTTAATACTCAAAATAATGGAGAATATGGACCTGTATAAGGAAATAACATTTCATAAGAATTTTCTATTAAAAAAATTGTACAAAATCATTTACAGTAATATATCTCTATTTGGAAAATTTAAAACAAAATAAAATTTTATGGGAAAATTTAAAAATGGTAGTCTAAATTTCAATACACATGTTAAAAATATTAGTTTTTAGATTTCTGGAATAGTGTGTAGTAAAATAATTGGTAATATTTTTTGTTGATTGAGTATTAACTGTTTTGTGATTGATAAATGACAAAATATTGTCGAAAATATCAATGCTAGAAGTAAACAAGTGGAAATTCATAATTACGATTATCTTTTCTGATAGATTAGAAGCAGGTAGCGGAATTAGATATTTTTTTCGTAAGGATTCTGACCACTTTTAGGACTAACCTTTTGACATTTACCGAACTCAGCCAATAAATTTGAAATTCTACTATAAGATGATACACACTTTATAAAAATTTATATATGGATAAACTAGCGGGCTTGGGAATTGACCCTTGCATCAGCTATCAGTCAGAAACTGGAAAAAACTTCTATGAAGCAATAAAGATATATGAATAATAGCGCAAATGACTAAATAAGGATACCTCAGGACACTACGAACTAATCACTCGGCCGTGGCCGTTGTCTGGGTGTTGGTAGATTCTCTTCCAAGACTGCTACCAGGAGAATCGGCGTTTTCATTGATAAGGCGTTGCCGTTCTCTGTACATTGACACTCGGATGTTTTCCAGTTGATGGTATCTGCAGAGTTTCAGGAGCGCACATACCGAAAGTCCGACCCATGTAGCGAACGATCCCCAGACGCCAAATTGAGCTGTTCCCATCTGGATGTAAAAGTTTGCAGTGTTGATTTTGTCGGCATGATCGATATCTTGCCCTGCAGCTAATTCGCAACTAAAAAGAGTATAAAAATGAGTTTAAAAGAAACTAAACAATATTATTTCTTATGAAATTGATATTTTGACATATTTGAAAAATAGTGGTGGAAAAATTGAAAAACCTGAAATTGTTTCACACTTATTAGCTGCTTTGTCAGTGTCATATCAATCAACAATCACAGCAATTGACATTATTTTCAGTCAAGATCCAACTAGAATTAATTTTAATATGGTGAAAAATAAACTCTTATAGGAAGAATCTCGTCAAGGAAAGTCTCATAAAAGTAATGAAGAATCCACAGCAGTTTTTTTTTGCTAATAAGAATCAATATCACTATGGACTTCAACAGAAATCCTAACAGGTCACACATGGTCCTGGAAATCATAGTAGGGAATGATGGACGACAGTCAAATAGACAATATCCAGTAGTGGGATAAGGACAGGGCAATTTTCAATTTAAATGCTATAAGTGCGGTAAAATTGGACATATAAGAAATGAGTGCATGGAATGTCAGTCTGTTAATAGTGCAAGTATCGGTCCAAATAAGGTTGAAGAAGAAATTTCCTTTTGTTTTGTGTGACAAAAGAAAGGAGCTTGTCAGAATTGTCAATCTGAATTTTGACAGTGATGAAACAATAATTGATAAAAGTGTAAACAAAAACATTGACTTTATAATAGACTCTGGTGCCACAAATCATTTGATAAATGCAGTTTCAGGAAGGTTTTTAACGGAAATTAAAACTAGCTCATAATATTGGTGTGGCAAAGCAAGATGTAATCATAAAAGCTGAAAAGAGTGCCAATTTACGTGTTTAAATGTAATGTCCCTGTTAAACTTAATCTGAAAGATATTTTACAGTGCAATGAATTAGAATATAAGTGTAAAGAAAATTGAGCAGGCAGGTCTAACAATTATATTTGAAAATGAAAAAGTACAGGTATACCATATAATTTAATCATGAGTGGAATGTTAAGAGGAAACTTATATATAATTACTTTTACTGTAGTAGATGATAAGTGTAATGTTGCCATTTCAGATAGTATATTACACAGAAGAATGGGTCATTCTTCACTATATCCTCCAAGTAATTTATGTGAGATATGTATTAAGGGGAAAACAAACAAGGAAACCTTTTAAGGATATTCCAACTGAAAAAAAGGCCAAAACAATTTTAGAAGTTGTATGTGGCTGGACCATTTTCTCCAGCATCATATGATGGATGCAGGTACTTTGTATCCTTTATTGATAATTTTTCTCACTTTTCATATGTGTATCTAATGAAAGAAAAAGTGATGTATTGAAGAAGTTTATGGAATATGAAGCAATGGTATGTGCCCAAGTGTTTTAAATATATCCCCGTTGCTTACTTTTTGACAGTGAACTGCCTAAGAATTTATGGAGTGAATCTGTATAAATAGCAACATATATAATTAATCAATTAAAAACTACTGCAGTGTCAAGTTGTAAACTTCCCGCAGAAATTTGGTTTAATAAAAAAAAATAGATCCAGAAAAGATATGAATATTTTGATCGAAGGCTTGGGTTCATGTTCCGAAGTAAGAGGAAAGCTCGATGAAAGAAGTCAAGAAAAATATTTGATGAACAGTATGTAAAACAAACCCAAATTTTTACTGAAGAAAAGGAAACAGATGTAGAAAAGAATAAAGTGTCAAAAATGAAAATGAAGAAAAAAAGGATGAGACTATATGAAAAAGTAATACAGAAAGAAATATGCCAATTAGATATAATGACTATACTATGGATATGAATGGCTTCATGGCAGCACTCTCAGCAGGAATTTTACCATCTGAAGTTCCAAAAAATTACGAAGAAGCAACCAAATATAAAAAGAGATTGGAAGCTGTTAGTGAAGAGTTATCACTTCCAGAGAAAAATAAAACTTGGGAGTTGGTGTTTCCCCCAAATGAGGAGAATATAATAGACCCCAGGTGGGTATTTATACAGAACTTTGACTAGTAGCAAGAGGTTATAAAGAAGAATATTTACACTCCAGTGGCCAGAATGATAACATTAAGAGCACTATTTGTATTAGCTCTTGAAACACATTCAGAAATTTATCAAATGGATGTGAAGTCTGCTTTTCTAAATAGAGAATTGAAGTTTTCTACCTCACCTGAAGTTTTCTACTTCACCTTTTCTCACCTGTTTATATACAACCACCTCCTGGACTTTTACAAGCTAATCAAAATTATTTGTGTCAACTCAGGAAAGCTTTACATGGGTTAAAACAAAGCCCTAAGTGTTGGTATGATCGGTTACATTTATTTTTACTTGATAAGAATTTCAGAAGATTTACTGTAGATCCCTGTTTATATACAAAATGTAATATTTACTTGCTAATTTGGGTAGATGATTTGATGATAATATCTAATAATGTCATTGATGTAAATAACATAAAAGAACAATTATTATCATCAGAATTTTAAATAAAAGATTTAACTAATAAATCAAATAAAAAGGTGTTTTGTGGGTCTCTCTCTTGTCGTTTCCTCATTGCTGAGGATCGTGATTCTCTACAATGCGGGCTGTCAATTCTCTCCATCTCTTGCGATTTTGGGCTGCTCTCATGGACTCGGAAAACGTCTCTCCAGTGGCTTTCTGTTTTGTGGGTATTGCAATCAAAATTAAATTTAATTAAAAATGAGAATAATCTCCATAATGTGCCTTATAAACAACTTATTGGATCACTTATGTACATTATGTTAGGAACAAGACCAGATTTATGTAAAACGTAATGTATTTTAGTCATTTTCAAAACTGTTTTGGTATCACCCATTGGAATCACTTATTGTTGATCCATAGTGATAGTGATATTTGAAGACAATCAGGCATGCATACAGATTGCTTGCACCTTAGAAACAAAACAAACTAAACACATAGATGATCGTCATCACTTCATTAGATATTGTGTTTTTGAGAATAAAATTAAACTGATATATGTATCCAGAGAACATTAGTGTGTTGATATGATGACAAAAGCATTATCTTGTGTTAAGATTGAAAATTTTAGAGACTGTATAGGTATCTGTATTATTACTACTGAGAGTAATTGATACTTATCTGATACTAATGTTTAATAATTAGTTTTAAGTTATTTTGGTGTAATTGAGGGGAGGTGTTAAAATATCACAATTCCCACTTGATTGCATTCTTATTATTAAAAGTATTTGATAAATAGTGAAATATTGTTTGTTTTACTTCCTCAAATCCCATAATCACTTCATAGTTTTATGTACAGTTACTGCCTACTTTTAATACTTACGATGGGAATCTTTCAGTCATGTTCTGACACCATGCCATAAATCCTAATGTTATCATAAGGGCTGCAATGATTGTCATGCCGCCAAGCCATATTCCCATCAATACATCTATGAAAGCTGAGAAGAAGCTACTATCTATCCCTTTGTAGAGAAACACAGATAATCTGCAATTAATGAATACAACAGTTAAAAAGAAATTTGTTCTAAATAACAAAAATCCTATCATCATGATGAAAGGGTGTTGTAACTATGTAACTGACCTGTATATTTGTATCACTGATACCAGCAAAAGGAATACACCTACAAATATAGTATAATTGCAGTAGCTTTGTGATGCCCAGTGTACATTCAGTTGACCATCTGTTTCTTGCCAATCTCCGGTGGAAAATAGTAAACAGTGGCCCCTAAAACAGTATTGTTACTAAATGTGAACTTTAAACCATACAAAGGATATCATACTTAAAGTCTTCTTGATGCCAGGCCATTGGAACTACAATACATAATGATAAAATAAAGGCAATAACATAGCCAGCAATTTGACTTAAAAGTAAAATATTTGTTAAAGCCATATCGGAATAAAATCAATATTTACATTTATTTATTTACTTTTTTGACAATTTTCACACCTATCTTTCATTACACAGTTCTCGATGTATTTTGTATCCATCCACAATTTTATACGGCAGTTAGAAACCCACTGCATTTTTAATAAATATATTATATTGATTTAAAAATTAACTACATAAAAGTATCAAAGAGATATATAATATATATTGGTCTCAAGATAATTGGTTTAACAAAATAATGAAAAAAAAAAGTTTATGGAAAAGAAGAGTAATGTTTCCATTTTGATCACATAAATTGTGACATGATTGTGACATTTTATTACGGAGATAATATTTGACGGCTGACGTTGTTGCTAGTGATTGGTGTACTTATCTGACGTTTAAGAAAAGCTGTCGTCAGTGTATCAATATCAAAATATTTGGAAAATATAAAAAAAATTGCAATAGTTTAGGTAATTAAATGTAAATAAAGATGAGGTCGCTTAGTATATCTTTGTTGAGCGTATCCTTAACATTAGTAGTCATTGCAAATGCCTATTATCAGAAGAAACAGTTTTACCCATCTGTTGTGTACATTACAAAATCCAACCCCAGTATGGCTGTAAGTAGTTTGACTATAGTTTGGGCCTTATTTTATTGTTTATTAATTGGTATTTCAGGTAATATATCTACAGGCTTTTATATGTGTGTGGATAAGTGGAAAAATTATGAGAAGGATATTCTTTGGTCAGTTGAGAACAACAGAGTTTGAGGTAACATACATTAACTAAACTATAACTGTCGTTGTTAAATTATTTAATTTATTATAATTTCAGCATCTAATGGAAAGATCTTGGTATGCAGTAACAGAAACATGCCTGGCTTTCACTGTCTTTAGAGATGATTTCAATCCAAAGTTTGTAGCTCTTTTTACACTATTACTCTTTTTGAAATCTTTTCACTGGTTAGCAGAGGATAGAGTTGATTACGTAAGTATTAATGCAAACATAAAGAAAAAAACAAAAATATGTCCTTGATAGTAGGATTTGTCTATAGTTTTTTTTGGGTCACAAACATGCTCAAGACTATCACATACCTAGTTCTGATCTTTTTTATATAAATCATGTTGTGGATAATAAAATAGACATATGTAACCACAGTTAGGTAAGGCACCCAATTTTTGATAATATATATTAAACCAGTTTAAAAACTTATCAACAGAAAGATGAATTTTTCTATAATCTACATTATGTTTAACAGACATATTATTTACCACGGATACCAAAAAGTTCTTTTCACTACAGGTGTTTGCCTAAATTTTGTATGTAATTATTATTTATTAATAACTTTTTTTATTAAAATCCATCTATTTACTATAATTTCATTATATGTCTATGATCCAATTTATAACAAAATTTTTTTTTCTAAGTTAATGGCACTGGCAAAGCCAAAAGGTCAGTCATGATAACAAAAAATAAACATCAGTTTGAATGTATTTGTGCTTTTGTATGAGATCTATTAGATTATTTATTTTCTATTTTTAATATTATATCTACAGTGGAACCTCAATTATCCGTCCCTCTAAAAACCTTCAGCTCTGTTAACCGTCAGGGTCCATACATAAGTTATATTGACTACATAAGTAAAAATTTCATCATCAATTCATTTTGTTTGAGCATTGCGATAAGCCAAATGAAATTCGTATCCCACCACTGCATTTTTTATGCAAATAACTTTTGTTCTTATTCAGGGCTCTGGACTAAATATCAATTTAAATAGGTAATGATAAATGATACCTTGCTTTTAGAGTTCTATTTTTAGATTCGCAAACCGAAAATAAAAACGCACAGCACAATAATTATTACAGGCAATATCTGTGTGTCACCTTAATTCAGTTTGATTTAAATTCGAACATTAATTGTGTCACTTAGTAATTTGATCAATTAAATTTTAAAAAATGGAGCCTTCTACATCTGGAGCTTAAAAAAGAAAAATGTGTTGTTTTGTCAATTGAAAAAAAAAAAAAAAAATAGAAATTATTGCAAAACTAAAGAACTAGGTGTTTCTACTGTCACATTGAGCAAAAAGTATGATGTTCCAAGAACAACAATCAATTTTTTAAAGAAAAATGCTGAACAAATTAAAAAGTATGCTTCGCAAATGGCATCGTATGATGGCCGGGTGAAACATCGTAAGAAAATGAAAAAAGCAACTCTACATAGCTCTGTATTTGTGGTTCATTCAAAAAAGCCAAAATTGTTGATTGCCGAAATTCAATTAATGCCGAAAAAGCGTTATTTTTCAACATAAAAATTGAATAACGATCCTTCATTCAAAGGAAGCAGCGGTTGGTTGAGAAAAGTTCAAAAATCGCCACGGTATACAGGAACTGAAAATTGAAGGTGAAAAATTGAGCGCAGCTAGTATTGAAGACGTTGACGAATATAAAAGAAAGTTTTAAGCTATGACCGATGAATATGGTTTGACACGCAATCAAGTGTTCAATGCATATGAAACTGGTTTAAACTACAAAGCATTGCCAACGAAAATATTCGCTGTACTGTCTTAAAAATATGCACCCGGATTTAAAACGTAAAAGCAACGAATCACAGCAATGATGTGTTCAAATGCAAGTGGTGACCATCGCCTTTCTTTATTATTGATTGGTACAGCAAAAAAAACACGCCAAAAACGCAAAAAATTTGCCACCAAAGGCGATTCTCATTTTGGACAATGCACTGCCCATCTTGAAGCCGGTGTGCTGCAAAATGACGATGGAAATATTGCGTGCTCTTTTCTGCCTTCGAATACAACATCATTGATATGGCCAATGGATCAATCGGTCATTGAAACATTCAAAAGACGATACAGAAAAAAATTTATTCAAAATCTAGTTATGGAAGAGGAATATTCTTTGCCAGAATACTGGAAAACATATAATTTAAAACACGCTGTCGACAATGCTGTGGATGCTTGGGCTGATATTTCGGAAGTAACGCTGAAAAGAGCGTGGAATAAATTATGGCCTGAATCAAGATGAAAATGCCCCCGTGACAGCCGAGCGTGACGCGGTACCAAATGAAGTTACAGCTGAATCAACTGTTTTGTTTTCGTTGCCTAAAGATGACATAAACGAATGTTTGATCACATAAACGCAAACTTTTATTTTTTTTAATGTTCTGTTAACTGTCTTTTCGATTATCTGTCATACCCTTGGTCTGGTGCCCTGATGGATAAACGAGGTTCCACTGTATCAGTATTTTAGTTGCATAAGCTAGTTGAACCAGTAATATCTATCAACACAAGAGTAATAATTTAAATTTAAAGTACACTTCATCTAATTTAGATAACGACTTACGTCATTATCTACGTCAGAGATCGAAGTTGACATAGTTGCCAAAGTATAAAAAAATCCTGACTCCATTTTAAATCAAATAGGTCACATAATTATTGCAAAAGTATTACCATCTCTTTACAACGACTATTTAAATTCTTACGTGACATTTTTGAAATAAAACACACTAATTTTGTTCTAAAAAGAACAGATTTTATTAAATAGGTAAAAATATAAAACAAGAGGTATTCACTTTAAAATTTAAAATAATAAAGTACAAACAGTGTCAACACCGCAACTGTCAAATAAGTGTTACCAATTTATGCCAAAATTTTACCTTCGTTCGATTACAGTTACAGTGTGTTCTGAACAAATGTTCTTCATAAAAACGCTTTATAATGCAATTATACAAATTAAATGAAACATATTATTGTGTATTTCTTTAAGTTAACATTAATAGAAATTTTTAAATATTATTTCAACGCTTATATAATAAAATATGTCTAGTGGCTGTAATGCCAGTGTACTCGGTAAAGTAATTCTAAAAAGATCACACCTAAACCCTAAATATTTCGTGTTGGTATCATATGACGTCACAGGGTATGACGCCGATGACGTGCATCGTTTTATAAATTAGATGAAGTGTAATAATGTTTCTTCTTCAGTTTCTTTAGTTTCCTATCTTCATATTTGTCTATATGCCACTGTCTGCTACATTTAAACTCAACATCACCTATGGCATAAGATACTGCAGGTAATTCTAATGTAGCCACCAAATCACCTTTGGTGGTGGACACAAACCATTTTGGTACTGAAATGTGATTATAACATAAAGACAAATAATTGTTTTAACTTATTAATAAGCAAAGAAATCAAATTGATATATAGTAGATATTTTTATGAGTTGTATCTCACTCTGGGTTTATTTTTTAGATGGAAAGAAGTCCAGTAATAAGTTGGCTTTTCCATATCCGAGTCCTCTCTCTACTTCTCCTCTTAGGGTCCTTAGACTTACATTTTATCCAACATGCTTACCTTTCAACTGTATCCAAAGGTGCATCTGTCCAGCTAGTGTTCGGCTTTGAATACGCCATCCTTCTTACCGTTGTTATCAACATCGCTATTAAGTATGGATTGCATTCAGTTGACCTGAACAGCGAAACCCCTTGGGACAACAAAGCAGTATTTCTTTTATACACCGAACTGGTGATGGGTCTTATTAAGGTTATTTTATATTTCGCTTTCGTCGCAATTATGGTTAGGTAAGTGTACAGTGATATATAAATAAATCGATTAGTAGAAATATTGTTGAATGTGTAATTCTAACATGTTCTTCATTTATACATATAGGATATATACCTTGCCGCTGTTTGCATTCAGACCGATGTATTATACCATTAGAAACTTCAAGAAAGCTTTCAGCGATGTGATTTTGTCCCGAAGAGCTATTCATAATATGAACACTTTATATCCTGATGCCACTCCAGAAGAACTGCAAGCTGCTGACAATGTGTGCATTATCTGCCGGGAGGAAATGACGACGGCCTCCAAAAAATTACCCTGCAATCATATTTTTCATACGGCTTGTTTGCGTTCATGGTTAGTAGTATTTTATTATATTTGTATATATACTTGTGCATGTGCAATGGCTGACTGAATTATAAAAACTTTAAAATCTCTTAGTTACATAATGATGCTATATGTACAGTTACTAGTAATAATTTGATCATAATCATTCTTTTTCTGATTTATATAGGTTTCAACGGCAACAAACTTGTCCAACTTGCCGGCTCAACATTCTTCGCAACCCCACAAACAACAATTCCCGTCCTGCACAAGCACCTAGACCACCACAACCTAACGTACAAAATCCTTTTATAAACCCCTTTTTTGCCGGACAGAACCCTTTCCAAATGTTCCAACCGCCCAATGCAGAGAACCAAGCACCGCAGCAACCACCAAGACCAGCTGCAGAAGGCGGAGCTGAACAGACAGTTCCTCCGCAAGTCCCACCGCAAGTTAATTTGCCGCCATTCGCTTTCCCGCCGTTTCCTTTTGTCCCGTTCTTACCGCCACCGCCAATGCCACCTCAAACAGTTTTCGAGTCACTGTCGACAGAAGAGTTGCAAAGGATGGAGGGAACAGAAAGGGATAATGTTGAGGCTAGGATACAGTGCCTGAGGAATATACAGGTAATCTTGAATTTTTTCTGCCCACTGTATAAATAATTCTAATTTAATTAACCGTTTTTTAATTAACCATCAACATTATTACATAATTTTTTGTTCGATTCGAGTAATGGATTTCCTTTCTCATTACCCATTTTACAAGTTTGATTTAATTGCTAGATTTGTAAATGAAAAAACTTACCGTCAAATTAAAAGTCTCTCTCTGAAAGCACTGCTATGTGATGTATTTTTCGACAATTAAGTTTTTTAACGCTTTACCTTGAAGCACAACTAAATGACCTAAACCTCATAATTCAATTAATAATATCCCAGAAGGATTAGATGAAATTACCGTCGTCATTAAAAATTAAATGTTATTCCATAAACTTCGTACGTAATGACCACTCAAAAGCAAAAAAACAAATTCTCGTGAAAAAACTTTTCATTATAATTATTTACTTTTTTTTGTTTGATTTATAACAAAATACCCAGAATTTATTTGTCAATATTTCTATTTTTAGATGCTCTTGGATGCAGCAGTCGTAATGATGCAACAATACAGCACCACGGTGCTTCTTACTTCTCATATTACGCCAAACGTTTCTACCACATCCTCAGCGATGCCCTTTTTGAATACTCCAGCTTGGAACAATCCTCCCACACAGTCCGAGACGCCAAAAGTTGCTAAAGTGGCTCCTACAACTAACGCCCAAGTTTCCACGAGTGCCGGAGAGACAAGCACCGGTGAGTCAGAGTTCGATAAACCTACCACTTCGAAGACGGTTAGCGAAGAACGTTTGGTTGAGGAAGGTCCGATTAGTCAGGAGGAGATAATAAGAAGAAGACGGTTGCAAAAATTCGAGCAACAAGTAGAAAGGGAATAGGTTTTTGTACTGTTACACTGAAATTTTTTACTTAAGTTTCTTGTTATTTTTGTTCGCTGTTGCGGTATTTCACAATACTTTACAGAAGTTTTAAAGTGTATTTTTTCTTTACACCGGAATCATAACAATATTACGTACAAAAATCAATTTATCAATATGTTTTTTACCGCGGCATTGTTTCAAAATTTGATGTGTTCTGAAAGTGCAACTGCGCATGACCATATGATCGATCTAAGACCGATCTATTTTAGACCAGGAAATTAAGCAAAAAAAGTACCCTGTTTTTGACACTCGTCCGGCCAGGCAACCGACAGTTGTTTTCAGTAGTATTATAGTAGTAAAAAACGGTAATTTTTCGCTTTTTTCTTCTACCAGCAAAAAGTAAAGCGTTTGAAACAAATTTGAGAAGAGAAGAAACTTATCAAGTCATATAAAACCCTTCAAAATGGCGTTTTCTAAACGTTCCTATACTTATGTGTTGCTTAGAAAGTTGCAAAATAAGTCAAAAATTTCGATTTTTTATAAATGTTAATAGCTTTTTTTTAATAACCTTTATAGTACACACAATGTTGCAAAGAGATTAAAAGTTATTTAATTTGTTTATCCCAAATTAAATTTTTTTGCAACAATATAAGTCAGAAAATTAAATCATCATTTTCAAAATTTTGGCATTACAACCCTGTGTGGGTCCTTGCCTCCCCAAGAATTCTCTTCCAGTCGTCCCTATACATCGCCTTCCTCTGCCAAGCACATATTTCCATATTTCTCATATCTTGGTCTATGTTATCTAGGAATCTTGTTCTGGTCTTCCTCTTTTTCTTTGACCAATAGGTCTATCAAGGAGCGTTTTTCTAGCTGGGTCGGTTTGCTCTATCCGCATTACATGGCCTGCCCACCTCAGACGTCCTATCTTAATGTGTCTTACGATATCTAATTCCTGGTATATTCTATAGAGTTCGAAGTTGTATCGTCTTCTCCAGACACAATTTTCATTTACCGCTCCATAGATTCGCCTCAGTATTTTTCTTTCGAAACATCCTAACATGTTTTCATTACGTTTTCTTAAAGTCAAGGTTTCTGAACCATATGTTAGGACTGGGCGTATTATTGTTTTGTAGAGTTTTACTTTTGTATTTCTTGATATAGCTGTAGATTTAAAAAGGAGATTAAGCCCAAAATTAAATAGATTTATAAGAAATTTAAATTCATTAGAATTCAGAATTAGAAGTCAGAAAATTAAATAGATATATTAAATATACGGCTAGATTCTAAAAGATTTTATTCTGTTATTATTTAAAAAAATGAGGAAAAATAATTTTAAATATTGCAAATTAATTTGGCAAAAACATGTAAATTTTTTGCTTATAAACAATTAGAATAACTTTTAACCATTGACTGCAAAAAAACAGATTTTTTCATAATTTGACAGCATTTAAAAAAAAATTGACCTAGGACACTTGGGGACGAAGTTAGTGCCTTTTTTATAAATTGGTAGCAGCTTTATTGAGAGCGCAGTAGGGGGAAGGAGCTGGTGACTGTATCTCTGTTTCTTGTTTATAGATTTCGACATTTCTCTTAAAATGTGCACGTACTTTTTGCTTGCATTACGAATATGTATTATTTAAATAATTAGGTTGTTAAATAAACTATCTAATTTGTTTAAACAATTTTTTTTCCAGATATTTTTTATTTTAGGAATATTTGGGGTAATTTTTTTTGTAAAAAATAAAAATTTATGATTAATATATTTATTAAATTTCGCAAATATTTTATTTATAATAGATTTTATGGAAAAAAAATTATTCTATTCAATTATTTTTAAAAATATTATTGGTTTATGTAATGCTTGGAAAATAAATAATCCCAGATAAATTAGGTTTTATTTATTTCTAAGCATGCTAGGCATGTGGCTTTTGTCGAAAAAGTTCGATTTCTTACCCACATGCTGAACTTGTTTTAATCCATATTATTATGACGCCAATATGCTATGCTCAAAAGTTTTCCGAAAATTTTCTTTGGCAATCTATTTATGTATAACAATTTTTTTTAAATAATTGAGAGTTATTAAGACGAAAATGATTCTTATGATATTTATATAAAACGTTTACTTTAAGCTTAAAGGGCAAATTAACTACTAAAATAGCCGAAAAAATCAATTTGAGCGTTTTTCGAGGCCATTTTTTAATGGGTTGAACATCAGATATAAAAAAAAACAAAAAATACAAGATGAAAGCCTAAGTCAATAAAATATACATAAACAAATTTATATACCGTTGCGTTTTGGAATATAAACTTTGACGTCTGAAACACATTGTTTATTTCTTACCACAATCTTATTTTAATCGGGAGAATATGATGCTGCAATATTACAGTAAAAAGTTTATCTAAAATATAGCACGGGTACCTGCTTAATATATAGAAAAAAAAAGATAGTTCAAACACAAATAAAATTTTTTATTTGTTGAAAAATTGTTATAAATAAACAGCTTCCCGTTGTAAACTTTGAGTAAACTTTTTACTGTATTGTTGTACTTTAATGTTGTATAAGATTCTGCTTATGAGTAAAAAATAAACAATGTGTTTTGAACGTTAAAGTTTAGATGATTGTCAAGTAGATATATCCCGAAACGCAACGGTATTAATTTGTTCATGAATATTTTAAACGGACTTATGCTATATCAAATCAGAATGGACTTGCGCGCATTTTGAACCTCTTTGCAAACTTTCACCTCATTTTTTTTGGTTTTTAAATTCGATGTATAACCTATTGAAAAATGGCCCCAAAAACGATAAAATTGGCATTTTAATTGTTTATTTGCATTTTAAGTTTAATGTAAGTATTTTACGAAAAAAATACAAAAATAACGTCTTAGAATAATTCAAATTATAAAAAGAAAGTAATTTTAAAGCAAAATATGTACATTTTTTTATAATTTGTTTAAAAAGTGTTAAATAAATAAATAATAATAAATAAATAAATAGGTTGCCATGCAAATTTTTTCATTGAGATGATTTTTCCATTGAAGAAAATCTTAAATTTTTCTATGAGATTTTTTATTTTTAAATATAGTAGAAAGAATTGAATAGGATAATTTGTTTTTTTATAAAGTCTATTATAAATAAAATATTTACGAAGTTTATTGAAGCAGTATATATTAATCAGAAACATTTATTTTTTACAGTAAAAATTACCTCAAATATTTATAACAAAATAAAAACTGAAAAAAAATGTTTAAACAAATTAGATGGTTTATTTAACAACCTAATTATTTAAATAATACATATTCGTAATGTATGCAAAAAGTACATACAAATTAAAAAAAGAAACTTCAAAATCAATAAACAAGAAACAGAGATACTTTTAATAGCTCGTTCACTCGTTTAACTTCTGCACTTTCACTAGTTTCAAAGCTGACCCATTGTGAGGACCACAATTTTGAATTTTTCGAAATTTTCAGATTAAAACCTTAAATTATGTTTTTCTGATGCTATTTTCTTGTGGCATTTTAAATTAATTACTATTTAAATGGGAATAAGCCACAATTAAAGGTTAAAGTACGTTTATTGACGTTTCAATACTTACTTTAACCTTTAATTGTGGCTTATTCCCATTTAAATAGTAATTACTTAAATTATGTTCTTTCAGATGACCCTAATAAAGTCTCTTAATTGTTGTAAACAAAGCTGCTACAAATTTATAAAAAAAGGCACTGTCTTCGTCCCAAAGTGTCCTAGGTCAACTTTTTTCCATTTAAATTTATAAAAAAATTCAGGCTGTTAAAATATGAAAAATCAGTTTTTTACAGTCAATGGTTAAAAAGGTATTCTAATTGTTTATAAGCCAAAAATTGACATGTTTTTGCCAAATTATTTTGTAATATTTAAAATTATTTTTCCTTGTTTTTTTTTTGAAATAACATTATTATAATAAATCTTCTTTTAGAAACTAATCCGTATAATTTATATACCTATTTAATTTTCTGGCTCATATTGTTGAATAAAATTTAATTTGGGATAAAAAAATTAACTAACTTTTAAACTCTTTGACCGATCGGCTTGAAAGTTTGATCTGATTTTAAGCACCACAAGACCCAACATTGTGTGTAATATAAAGATTAAAAGTTAATTTAAAAAAAAAATTATTAACATTTATAAAAAACCGAAATGTTTGACTTATTTTGCAACTTTCTAAGCAACAAATAAGGATAGGAACGTTTAGAAAACGTCATTTTGAAGGTTTTTATATGACTTATAAGTTTATTCTCTTCTCAAATTTGTTTCAAACGCTTTACTTTTTGCTGATAGACGAAAAAAGCGAAAATTTACCGTTTTTTGACATTAATTTGTTAATAATTAATTAAGCCAAAAAAATCGACTGCAGGAAACATAGGTTCTTGTTATGGAGGTCCATACTACTCAAAACAACTGTCGGTTGCCTGACCGGACGTGTCACGAAAAAAAGCTTATTTCCTTGGGGTATTTCTAAAGGATAATGTTATTTCACCTACCGAATCTTTGAAAAATGACAGCGGACAGTTTTTTTCTGACTAAATAGTATTTGCTTCCGAGCTTAATTCACCAATGTACAAAACATTTTGTTTTGTATTTTTTATTCTCCTAATTGCTGATTTGCATTTTCTTTTATCTGTGACGTTTATGGTTCTGCGTCACACTCTGCACCGAGGATCAGGAAGGTGAAGGATTTCCTGGCTGAAAAATCTACGTACTTGGCTCAACACAACGACCACAAATCTTTTCAGAACAGCAGTTTGCAAATTACAGGTTGCCATGAGGGTCGACAACATGCGAAACGGATAGACACTACAAGAAGAAGACCACATTCTTCATGCTTTTCTTTTTTTCTGATTAATCGTATGCAAAGTGTAGGTGAACCCAAGAAGTAAACAGATTGTAATGGAAATATGCCAGATAATGCTATTTTTGGATCGCAGAGTATGCCACCACATTAATGCTGGTCCTTTTGGTCATGTAATAAATCAATCAAGATCCAATGTCATAATTTACTTTTCTGGTAATTTAACGTTGAACTTTTTGGCTTAGATATAATCGCAAATAGCGGAAAAAGTTTTCGATATGTTCAGTAATCAATATTTTGGATATAAATCGTGCAAACAACTTTCTAAAACATGTTGTAGACAAATTTTATTCAGACAACTTCGTGAAACTCGTGGAAATAAAAAAAGTGGGATATGACGTCAAACTGAGAGTAATTCGTTTTCACGTAATGCCATCTATGAACGGCCAGATTAACATCAAACTAGCTTAGTTTTCGGATGTATTGCATATAAATGATCGGTTTGTATAATATTTTGGATTCCTGATTGAAACCGTAGATAATTTAGTGAAGATTGTCTGGGTAACTCTTCTTTTTTCTTGACTTTTTACATTGTGATAAACTAGGTAGAAAAATCTAAGTACTTTATACGAATCTAGCTAATAAACAAGGCAACTGTGTATTACTTTTGATGGTAAATGTTGTATGTATTGTGAAATATCCGCTGAACATTTAATAGTCTGATTTACTCGTGATCCAAGAAAGTTTTAAGTTTCATACTTCATAGAAGTATGTCATTTTATTATTTTGTAATGTTTGATAATTTATTGTCATATTAGTTTTAAATAATAAA